TAAATAATTTAACTGATTAAATATATATTATCCCGCATTTAAATAATTTAACTGATTATATATATATTCTATATGTATTATATATATATATATATTTAAATAGATGTGCCTGGAAGAAGGCACTTAGCTGAGAAAATGGAATTGAAAAAAATTGACTGGATCTGTTATTAACTGAGAGAATTCTTCTCTCTCATTTTTATGAAGCAACACTTGACAGTTCAGATCCTTGAAAATGTTACTGAAAATGCTGTCACTTCCTATTTGTACCTATTTCCTTGGTGGTTATTTCTGTATTTCTGTATTTCTTCAGTGCAAAAGTGAAAGTTAAGAAAGCTTCCAAGGAAATAATCTGGTCTGCATGTCTGTTAGCCCAGAAATGCTCGTGTGAAGTGCTCTGAAAACTGATAGGAAATACATTTATGCAATACAGTTTTGCAGATACATAAAGTGAAGGATAATCGACAAAAGTCTCATTTGTGTAACAGCTTTGACCCATTAGGGGCTTTTAAATCATGCATCACTGACTTCAGGGTTGCTGTTGTCAAGCTACTTACAGATCCTAGTTAAATCAGGCATTTCGTATTTTTGCCCTCATTCGCTTTTGTTTACCAGCAGGAGACAAAATATTTAATTAGTTTTGGGACATTTATAATCTCCTCTGGGCCAGCTCCAGCCGCAAAGCTGGACGCCACTCCTGAGTTAATTCCAGCCAGGCTGGCCCCTCCACTACAACATATGGGTAACCTCTGAGCCTTTAGCAAAAGTTGCAACTGAACTGCGAGAGGGGTGGGACCTCCCTGCTGGGAAAATGCTGAGCCACCAAGCAGAAAGGGGCCACTCACCAGTGGAGGTCAAGGCAGCACTCAGAGACCAAACAGCATCTGGCAAACTGTGCCAAATAGAAATCAATGAGAAGCAGGGCACTGGGTAGTAATTTTATGCCTGTTTACACAAGAAAATAACTCCTTTTGAAGTGAAAAATGATTTTATAAAATGCTCACAGCATCCTTTGGCATCACTCTCTCCATTGTTCCTTCTTGTATTTTTATTAGTCAATAAAATATGGCACAATCTAGACACGATTTTGTTTTAAGCAAGCAACATTAACTGTAGCATTAATTATGTTTTTGGGAGATGAGGAGTTTTGGGAGTCTTCTTCCTAATTGGCTAGGAACCAGCTGTATAACTGTAAGTCATTTCCAAGGTGCATCACATTCTCTTCTCCATGTTGCAGCAATCAGTCAGAGGGCTTGAGAAGAAATAAAACAAAAAATAGAAACATATTAAAAAAACCAAAAACAGTTCCTAATCTTAAGGACTTTGTGTTCCTGCCACTGTAAACTGCTGCAGCTCAGTCCACTTGAAACCTCCCCATGTTTTGTTACTGTCACTTTCTATTTCTGCCTGTATCTCTGTTTATATCTCATCTTGTGGCCCTTGTTTTTCCCCATTGTCTTTCACCACTTTTCTCTTTTCCCTGAAATTCCAGGTGCTGGTGTCTAATATTGTAAGCAGACTGCCGTTCATGTAACTTTTTTAAATTTTTTTTTTTTTTTTTTCCCTTTCTTGATTCTGCTGCACTTCTTCTGTACTTTGTTTCACTCCTGGATTTCTCAGCTTCTCTGAGCTGAGCTCCTTGGGGATATTTCTTCACAGGGAGTCCTGCTTATCTCAGTTCTCTGTGTCAGGACAAAAACTCCAAAGCTTGTTAGGATCTTGTTTCTCCTGTTTATTAGGATGTTATCACAGAACTTGGCAGGTCTCTCCAGACTTTCTGCACAAGTTTAATTCACTACAACCTGGCTCATTTCTTTCTGATGGTACAAAATGGCCTCACTGTGTGGCTCACTTTGGCTTTGAAAGCTTAAAATGGCCCCGAACCACGCAGTTCTTTTATCTTTATACTCATTCTTACCCAATTAACAATAGACACATAAATTATTTCTCTTAATGACCCATCACCTGTGTACTGCACTGTGGCATTTTCTGTCCAATCACCTACTACTACCCAAAAACCTCTAGAAGAACAAGAAGAAGAAAGAAGGAAAAGAAACAACACTCTAAATCCTTTATCTTGTCTTCTGCTTTCTAAACTGTTTTAAACTCCAAGTTTTCCACCCAGTGACTTAAGAAAACTCTCTAATCTACACACTCACACTTTTAGCTTTTTCTGTCTGACTTTAACAGTTGTTTTCATGTATCACCATGAAAACATGTCCATAAATTTCATGTTGTATGAAATTCAGTGTTCTTCTGGATTTCAGAGTTAGGTATCAGAAACAAGTGCACACACTCTGTGTCTCAGACTCCAACAATTCAATGCAGTGAGATTACTTAGGGCTGAATATTAAATATACTCAGGTCTTCAGAGGTTCATGGCATTAGATACTACATTTTATTCCACATAGAGCTTCTTCCTTGTCTACTTTTCTGCTTCTCAAAAAGGGGACCATTCTCTACTGACTTTTTTTTTTTTGTCTACTTGTCCAGAAGTATTTCTATTTGCAACAATTTCAGAACTCATTTTCATCCTTAAACTACCTTGTATCATTCTGCACATTGATTATTTCTGTATTTGGAGTGAAGGAGGTTGCAAAGTCTTTATGCTGTAGAAACTACACAAGTCCCAGTGTCCTGTGAATCATCACTCATATTTCCATATCTCCTTGGGTTTTGTGGCAACAGGGAAGATGTCAGCTCCAGTCTGAGGTCTTTATGCTTCTTGGTAGAGAATAGACAATAGACAGTGACTTTTCAGTGTAGGAAAGAATTGAGAAAATCAATGTTCTTGGTGGAAGGAATCAAAAGCTGAATGTTCAGAGTGGCTCTCATTGGTCCTGTCCCTTGGACAGTTGGCATGTGAGGGGAAAAAACTCGCTAGAACTGAGGTGGATGAGCTGTTCATGTCTGGGGAGAGAAATGGTGCTTTTACTCAGGGAGTGTATTTTTTTTTTTCAGTTAGAATTTTTTTCACAGTTACAAACTTTTAATATTAAAATAGGATGTAATTCAGTAATAAAATGCTGCAGTTTTTTCCCTACTTTTGAAGAATACCAAACTCTTTGCTTGACCAGAATCTGAATGTGCAAGCAGGTTTTTTATTTTCTTGTTTATAAATAAAATTTTTTCTGATGAGGTTTTTGGGAAACTCAGTGGGAGCTCATCTCCCCTCGATACCATGACACACCTTTTATACCTCCCTTTCTCTGCTAGGTTTTGTCCCCTCAAGAGTAAACAGCTCCACTCCTGTAACAGCTCTCTCTTCCATAGGTTGTGATTAGGTCAGTTCATTGCCAGTACTAAAGTCTGTAGATACTCTATGAATAGGTTTTGTTCTCCTGTGTATCAGGAATACAATCCCCAGATAATAAGAGAAGAAGGGTTATCAGAAAATAAAAAGGGGTTGGGTTTTCACATCTTGGTATTTGGTGGTCTTAAACAGCTGGGGAGAGTCTTCTAGGGAAGTAATTTTGCTCCATGATGAATTTCCATACTGTCTCTCAGCATAGTTACCCATTTAGTTTCTATTTTTAGGACTTATTGTAGGCTTTCTACTCAATTCTAGAGGAAATAGAAAAAAAATAAAGGCTAACTCATGAATGGTCTTGGTTTTTTATTTTTTGAATGTAGAACAAATTAAATTTTTTTAGTATTTGGATTATGTTAATGTGTTTCTTGTGCTTGTGACTGTCATGGCAAATAGGTAATTTAAGAGTAACTTACTACAGGGTAAGAAAGATTGTTTTTTCAAAAGGTTGGTGTGGGGAACCAGCTCAATCTATGACTGCTGTGTTGTTCTCCCATGCTGGTGTTTTGGAGGAAGCATCTCCTAGGGACAGGAAAGCCATAACACCACCTGATCCAGCAAAAGGCTGACCTGTCAGGAGGGGCAGTGTAATAGCAAATCATTCCCTCTACTTGAGGCTGTCTGACCATGTCTGTTGATTAAGGAAGAACACAGCTGATTTCCTATTTAAATATTTTGGTTCTTGCAGCAATCTTGGGATTTTTTGTTTCATTTGTAGCACTGGTGTTGCTTCAGTGACAAGCATCTCATTAAACTTAGCTACATTTATAAAAATGTATAAAGTGCTTTTATAATGTTCTAAAAACAAGTGCACACATCCTAGGTTCAGGCAGGTTTATAAATAGGCTTTGGCTGTTACCATCTTTGCAGAATCCATTTGGAACAAATATCTGTGGTTGGAGGCTAAAAGGACCAACCAATTGTATTTGGAAGGCAGTGGGAACAGGGGGTAAACATAGGAGTTCCCATCCCTGTCACCTCAAAGATCCCCTTGTATTTTACAGAGGTGACTGTGATGCACAGGTGTGAGGAATGGGCAGGGTGATGATTGAATCAGAGACACCTGAAAAAGTTAAAAAAGGGGAGGGGCCACAAGAGAGAGAAGGACTAAGGTAAGATCCTCAGGACTGAGAGGTAAAAAACCTCTGGAAAATTGCTCTCTCCAGAATCTGGCACTGAACCCAAGAATCCCGAGTTTATAATTCCTTCTGCTGTGAGGAAATGTGGTCAAATCAGCAAGTAAGTCCTGACATCTACTTCATCTTTCTAATCCTGAGATATCTGATCTGTGAAAAGATAATAACTTAGCACTTGTGCTGCTAATTACTCTGTTAGAGGTTTTATAGAACAGGTTAGGAAAACATCTGTCAGAGATCATAAGAACAGTAATTCCTGTCTGGAATCAGGAGGATGAAATAGATTCCTTCCCTCATCTGTTTCATGGTGCAGAGTATGCATAGTGCTTTTTGCATAATTTTAGTAAGCCTCAAGCTATATAGTAAGGAAAGGTCTTCTCTGGAAGACTCTTGTCTCATTGAAACTGAGTAGATAGGAAAATAAAAGGTGCTTAAAGAAACTGAATTACATCTTAAATGAACGGGTTCTGCTCTTTCCTATGTCAGAATGCCTATGTAACACTTAACAAGTATTCTTAACTAACTCTTAAAATTTGTATTGTCTTGTGTTACTGCAGATATTGCTGATCAAGTTAATTCCCAGGTGATAGATGAACAGAGAGTCAGTATTTCACCCAGACTCGGTGGAACAAAGCTCCCCCACAGCTGTAGTGCTGCAGCAGCCAAGCTTCCTTGCACAGTTCTGCTGGAGCAGTGACCAGTGAACATTGTGCCAGGTCGGTGTGTGTGCCCTGCTGTGTTGTGTCTGTAGGTTCTCTTGTGAAAAACATCAGGACAGCTTTTGCAAATTGCTAAGCAGGTGCAGTTGACCTTGATAGAAAATTGTATTTTTAAGCACATGAGATTTGTATGATACTTGGAAAATTCACTGGCTTTGTAATATGTCAGAGCTGTTTTGTTGCTCTAGTGGTGCAGAGGGTTGCAGTATCATTCTAGGTGGAACCTACTTTCATGATCTGTCTTGTGTTTGTACCAAGGTACATAATGTAACCAAATTCAATATATAACATAGGTGAGAAACAGTTAAATATTCAAGATATGTTCCTCTAATAATGTGGCAAAAGGACTCCTCTCTCCTTTTTGTTTTTTTAAGAGGGTTCTGACTTCCTGTTGTAAAAGCTTGCTTTTGAACAAAGTTATGTTTAAAGGTTGTTCTGTGCAGGGTCACTGAGGCAAGCTCTGTTTTTGAGCCTCGCCTGAGGGAGGTGAGAAGGATAATGTGGAACAGAAGAGAAATGAGTGAATTGAGAACAGTACAGCAGGTAGAGCCTGAACAGTATTTGGGACACTTACCTGACCTGCTAGAAAGAAGAGCTCAGCCCAGAGAGACTGAAGAGGAGAGTGAGCAGTCCTAAGCACTTTATAGGAAAGGGTGGGAAGCCCCAGGTGAAATGAATACAAACTCCTCCTGCAGCTGTAGATTGTTAATCCATTTCCAGTATTAGTTAGTGAGTGTCCCTTCAGGGTACAACATTCTCTAGTGAATTGTTGCTTTGGGATAGTCCTGCAGTCCTGACAGGGAAAACAATGCAAATAGGTAAGGCAGGAAAAGAAGTGATTCTGCACACCATGGATTTCTAGCCTGTCTTGTGAGCTGAGTCAAATGTTACAAGAAATTGGGCCCTTAAGGATGGTCATATTTTGGTAGTTACCCACCTGCTCTTAATTAGGCAGCGTGCAGCATGCCAGTCCTTCTGCTTTGCTCACTGTAAACGACAGTGGTGAGGAGTCTTGAGGCTTTTAGAAAGGATCTACCTGAGAGGAAATAGTTCTGGCTAGAAGAGACAGGTAAGATTCTTGTTTTGATACGCTGCTTGGATATGTTTTTATAAGTACAGGTAGAGAAAGTAGAGAGGGAGTAGACTTTAACCAGAAATATTGCTTTCATTTCGTTTTAAATTCAGTATCTGGCCCCAGCCAATCCCCAATAAAAGTAATTAGACTGTATTTTCCATAGTAGTAAAGGTGAAAGCCATTCATCTCTTAGTGGGTGCTGCACTAATTGCATCTGAGTTTTTAACCCGGATACCTAGCAGACAGTTTTGAATGGGTTTATGTATGTAGTCATAAATCCTCAAACTAGCTAATTTCTTTCATGGATTGAAACTCTCCTATATTTATTTCCTAATATTGGTGGTGATTTGAAGTTGCTAAAATAATCTGGTTTATGACTGAAATAGCGTTCTTATCTGTCTCTCGTGTTTCTCTGTGGGAAACATAATATTTTGGTTAATGATACTGTTTAATGATTAAAATATGACTCAGGAATAATGCTGCAAGGATCATAGAATAGCACTAAATTGGTACCTGCACAGTTAGAGAATCAAAGATTGAAATTTGAGCAACTGGGTAGACATAGAACTTCTTTGTGGTGATTCTGTGTTTTTTTTCTGGCTTGAGATTATTTCATGAGAAAAAAGAGAAAAGAGTAAAAGGGAATTTTTTGAGAAATGGTTGATGTGCAAAACCCATGAAACTAATATAAGATAGGATTTAAGAAAAGGTTTTAGCACCACAGCAGTTTATCACATCAGGATATAGTAATGGCTTTTAATATAAATATATAATAAAAATATTGAAAATAATTAAAAAAGTATTTTGAATAGTAATATATATGAGAAATTGTTAAAAGTAAAGGGAGAAGGGAGTAAGATTATGTAAGCATTAATTGAGACAAGCTGAAATATAGAGGAAATCAGACCAAGTGAAGGAAACCTGTGGAAATTCCAGCTGACACCCTTTCTCTTATTGACTGGTCAATAAAGCAGATATTTTTTTACTTTGAGGTAACATTATCATAAAGCTGTGCAAGGGGCTGTGCAAATGAACCAGATTCGTGTGGATAATACCTTGATATGTTTTATATTTCACTTTCATAAAGCAGGAGCTTTACAAAATTCTAAGTGCTGAAAAGCAGGTGTTTTGATCAGCCAGCATTTTTTAGCTTTGCCCATGAGCTATAAAATCCTGTTATTAGTTTGTTAGTAGTCTAAATGGATCTGTCCTGTGATTTGATAGTAAATCATTTAAGCTGAAGTTAGAGTGTGTTCAGGAGGAGAGATAAATCACAGCTTCTCTCTTGAGATTACAGTGGTATGTTAGTCAAAGCATGATAATGGTGGTGAATCAATTAGGAAGGGAAAATTAACAGCACTGCTGTGTCCTGTGTTACTGTGTGTTAGTGAAGTAAAATACAAAGTTTCTGAAGCACTGTGATTTTCAATATATTTGAAGTCTTCATTGTAATTTGTACTGGCAGGACATACTGAGTTAAAAAAGAAAGCTGCTGCCAAGTGAAAAAATACAGTTCTTTATTTTAAAGGGGAGTTTTCTGTATTTATGGCATGACATTAACAGCAGTCTTGAGATGAAGAGTGATTAATTACCTGAATTGAGTAATAGCTATTTCATGAGAACACACAGTATTTATTAACTTACAGAACACCTTAATTCTCTGGTGCCTTTTACATGAAAAATCATTTGACATTCATTGCCAGAGACAAAGGCTTTAACTAACAGACTTATTTGGGTTAGAAGGCTGCAGTAGCACTAAAATGGGCTTTAGCAATAGCATGAAATCAGATGTGGATTTTCTTTTCTACCACACATGCGGTACTTCCCATGGAGCATCTTCAGAAACAGAAATCTCACAAGTTCTAATTGCTGATCCTTTTGGGAAAGGCATATGTTTCTGTGGGTTTTGGAAGGGAGCTGTTCTCACACAGATAATCAGAAGTTGTCTGTCAGAAAGTGGCGTTTTAGCATGTGGCAGTGGCTCGTTATGTTTGGGAGAACAGGTCAGTGCACACAGCTAGCCAAGTCGAACATTTCTAATGAAACGTGATGAAGTTGCACTTCTTTAAAAATTGAAGAAGCGGCATACATTTTGATAATGGAATAATGGAGACTCCCTACCCCAACTATCATCTCCGTTCATGATCATTAGGATGTGGAATATTAAGAGCAGAGCAACTGGGCGTAACAGCCGACGTCCAACATCTGTCATGCTGGAGTCCATTAGTGTTCAATTGCATCCTATTGTTTTTGGATTATTCAACCTCATTTCATTGTCATTGCTTTTGCTAGGGATTAATCAGCTGTTTACAACTACACCAAGTTTTGGAGTCATAATGAAAACAATTGAGCTATAGTTCTAAATAAATATACAGTATTCAGTCTCTAATGAAAAAAGTTGCTAATTTATGAATGCTGGTAACAATTTAATTAAGTTTGAAATCAATACAGATAATAAATTATTATGTGGCAGGGTTTTTTTTTTTCCTTTCCTGTACATCACAAAATGATTATATGATATTTCCTTGTAAGTTTATGTAGTTATGATTTTAATAATACAAGTACAGTAAAAGAAAGATGTTTTAATTATGAGGCATGGGTGTGTGTATATTGTGGCTTCTCTGTCATTACAGCTGGTAGCAGAATTGATCCCTTGCTGCCAGCAAGAAGTTTTGTTTTTCACATCCTCTTTTATTCTTGTCACTTATTTAGAGATGTTACTAAAAAGACACCTTTCATTCACATAAAATACACATATACACTAGAATAGGTTGCATTAAAAAGGGCAGTTTTCAGGTGATTTGTATTCTTACATGTTTTTGTGTATAGGTATCATAACCCATCTAAATATTTTTGCAATTATTAGATAAAACTATAGCTATATTTTAACTGTTTAAATATATTTAAATTATTTTAATGACTCAGAGTTTGCTGACAGGCAAATTTATTATCCTTATATATCCTTTTTTTTTTCTCAGGATACTACTCTGGTCACAATGTCGTGTACTTTATACAATATTAAAATTGTGAATGCCGGAGGGTTTCTAATAATTTGAGTTTACTTCTTTTGGTGCCGTATGTGCAAAATAGTGGTATTCTTGGCCATGTATATTTTAGCTCTTTCTCCTGTTTCATTAACAGTTATTTCTTCTATCCTCAATACTTAGGCAGAATTTTCACATGTTTTAATGTACAAATACTACAATGCACAGAGATTTTTTTTTTTTTTTTCCCTGAGTTGCAACAGATTATCCATTGAAAGGATCTTTTGCTTAACTGCTCAGAGTCTTGTGGGGCCAGCCAGACACTACTCCAGATGGCAAGTTGTTAGGGCTGGACAGAATGGCTTTGGAAGACTTCTCACCAGATGAAGGCTGTAATGTTGGGATTTTACTGTTTGGCTTTTTTTTCCCCCTGTAGTTCCCAGGGTGGGAAGGTGCTGGGATGGCAGCAGCGTGCCGCCCACCCACCTGCTACCACCTGTTTAGCTTTTGCCGTTTCTATAAAGCCTCGTCTTGTCCTCGACACAATCGTTGCTGGCCGGCAGAGGCCAAGGAAAAAAGAGATCTCTCTTAGGAAGTTACATCTTTAGATCACGAGCCTTCACCATCGCAGAATACTCTCCTAAATTGAATCAGAACTTCTCTCATTTGAAACAGCCACTTGGAGTTGTGCCTTTAATCCAGTGAGATCCTTCTTGGATTAAATGGACCATTTTCTTCAGTAACGTACATTTTGAGAATGGAGATTTCATTGTTTTCCCTCTCTCTTTGAGATTAAATAAATTAAAAGAATGAAAGCATAAGACATAAAAAATGCTTCATTCTTTCTTTCAACAATAAGAAACAATTTCCAGAAGAACCAGAAGAACTTTTATTTATTTTTTTAGAAGCCAAGAAAAATACTCCATAATTGATATCAGGAAACAGATTCCAGAGGTAGGAAGGGTGCTCCATGAGTGCTTTCCTTACCGCTTTTTAGACAGCGAATTTTGCTAGGTGATCTTTGTGTGTGTGTGGAAGTGAAGCTGCATCAAACATGAAAACCTGTCAGTCCAGTCAGCTGGACTCGGCTGTGGAGTCAGACACGGCGTGCAGGAGTGGAGGGGGCTGCGTTGTGAAGTGCAGCTCGGAAAGGATGGAGAACGCTGCCAAGAGGAGACTGGCTGCCAATGCCCGCGAGAGGAGACGGATGCAGGGACTGAACACGGCCTTCGACCGCTTGAGGAAGGTGGTTCCGCAGTGGGGGCAGGACAAGAAACTGTCCAAGTATGAGACCCTGCAGATGGCTCTGAGCTACATCATGGCTCTGACCAGGATCCTCGCCGAAGCTGAGAGGTACAGTACTGAGCGAGAGTGGATTAGCCTGCACTGTGAGCACTTCCACGCCGACAGCTTCCACCAGCGCCCAGCGCAGAAACCCGCGGCCAGCGGCGATCCTTACGCACAGAGGCTGTTCGGCTACCACCCCGAGCACTTCCAAATAGCTAATTAGAACTTTTGCCAGCTGAGAATACCTGGCAGGCCAGATGTGTAATTTAATAATTAGCAAGTTAATCTGCTTGACGGAGGTAATACTGGCGTTATAATAGCTCCTTCTTGTTTGCATCTTAGGGTAATTTGACAAAATAAATTTGCTCTGAGAACGTAAGATCAAAAGGCGTTTAAGATGATTGAATGTATTTAATGCTGGTGGAAATTATACTTTCAATTTGAAATATTTCTGACAGTTGTTTCCTAGTTTGTCTAGTGTATTTGACGCTTTAATTAAATAAGTTTTTGGTGGTTTTTTTTTTTACTGTGATGAATCATGACAGTATTTCTACAGATCATGGGACAAGTTGACCCGTGGTGTAACTGAGTGGAATAGCACAAGAAATTAACCTCATTCCATGTTTTTCTTTTTACGTCAGCTTTAAAATTGTTCTTTAGTGTCTTTTCCCATAAATGGCTCACATGGAAAAAGTTTTATAATGTATTGGAGTTCTAGTCCTCAGAGAACTAACTTTCTTAAACTTTGTAAGTTTGACATATGCGTTCCAAAGTTGTGTAGGTTTGCTTTAATCCAATTTATGGTGTCTCTTGTATGCTCGAAAAAGAGCTGGTTTTAAGTCATGGAAGGAATGTTTTATTTTCAGTGGTTGTAAAAGCACGTGTGATTATGTACCATAAATGAGAATGCTTGCGTGAAAATATTCTAAGCTTCTAGATTTTTGTAGGCTTTAAATGATGGGATTTTATTTTTTAACCTTATGTTATCTGGAAACAATAACAGATTTTGTAAATCTTAAATAAAACGTTTTATATGCTATGTCCTCACCAAATATCTGAAATCATTACCCTAGGAATTACTTAGTAGTGGATTTTTTTACCCCAAATGTCATACTACTTCTACCATGATCCTGGCAGCTTAATGTGCTGAAAAACCAACCAGCAAATGATATTTTCTTCCCAGCTACAGTAAGGAGTCTATTTTATGTACAAGTTTAGGAAAAAAATTGTGGGACATTCTTGCAGATTGATTTCAGCCCCAATGATGTGCTGAAGGGCCTTTTGTTTACTTGCTGCTTTCACTTTTGGGGGATAGAGGGGTCTGGGGAGGAAAGGAGGTTGGGAAGATGAAAGAACTGGGAGAGGATGGCTGGGGAAGCAGCAGTGTCTGCAGGGATTCAGCTGTCTGTGCCTGGTGTGGCAGCAGCCGACTGAGGAACTGAAGGGTGCTTCTGCTGGTGCTGCTGGAGGGGAGAGCCCAGAGAAAAACCCTCCCTGGTCTCAGCTCAGAGAGGGAAGGAGAAAGGGAGCTGCTGTCCCACAACAGCTGGTGGTGGATCTCCAGCAGGGAAGGCTTGCGGGTTCCCTGCTGGCTGCTGCCATGTCTGATATTTTAGGATTCTTTCAAACGACGAGTGAATAGCTTTGATAGGAGTTATTTGCGACAATTAAGCAGCTTTCAGGGAAGAACAAAGGCATTAAGAGGAACTAAGCCCTTTTTGGGGGGAGAGGGACTGTGCTGCAGGAGAAGTTAGACCTGCCCTCCCTGTGTGGCTGTCCCCTTGCTGGTGTTTTGCTCTCGGTTGCTGTTCCAGGCTCCCCTGGTTCCTGGCATGGAGGCTGGGTTTCAGGCTGGCTTAAACACACTGTGTATTCTGAGCAACTGTCTCCTTTAAACCCTGGAATTCAGGAAAGGGGTTTTAAATGTATATTTAGCCTCTCTAAAGGTAATGAATAGCATTAAAATGTGGGCCTTTGCTTTGTGTGAATTACATTAGATCTTTAGCAGCAAAGTGGATTCAGCCTCACATATGAAGTCATGTTACTCAGACAGTAGAATTAATTGTTGTCCATCATGTTGTCATGTTAATACTGTGTGACTATTAAGTGTCAAGTTTATGTATGTAGTAACAGTGAATACAATTCTTAATTAAATTCTGTGCTGTCTTACCCTAATGTATCAGCTGTAAACTTCAGGCAGACACTGTCTCACTGAGCTGCTAACACAGCAGTGGGTTTGCCATACTGAAACAGGAATAGGATGCAGATAAACCATGTGATTATATGACATGGAGAACTTTGATTAGTGAAAGATTGCCTAAAGCCGAGGTGTGAAGGGGGGAATACAGTACAAAAGGATAAATGCCAAAGTAGGGTGCAAGAACACAAGTGATGCTTCTGTGCTACTGGCATATGATTTGTTTTTATGGGATGTGACATTGCAGTAATTCAGGTAAAAAGTACTTAACAACCATTTCTCTTCCATTTTTGTTTCTTGCATGTAGCATTGTACTTTATTTTCTACTGCACATGATGATAGAGTTAAAAAAGAATGGATTAGTATGCAGGGAATGATTAAATGGTAGTAAACACTCATGAAAAGGAACAAAGCAACACAAACCATAAAGTATCCGTGCTCATGTTACCAGAAGTTATGAAGAATTGAAACTGAAACCCTGCTAAGTGCTTCAGTGTAGGTAGTGAGCACTTATAAACCAGGTCATGAACAATATGTTAAGGTTATAATCCCCTGTCATCCCCATTCTCTTAGATTTTGTTGTGCTAATGGGACATGAATGTTTACTGATGCCTTTATTTATAATTAGTAATATTGCTGCTGGGAAAATTGTGATTTTATCTAATTCTGTACTGGTTTTGTTTCTTGGCAGGGTGCAGTGTTGAAGTTGGGATTTTCAGTTGACTGTAGTAGTGAAGGCAGCAGAGTAAATTCTGTGTAGTGCACAGACAGCTGTCTGCCTATTGATTACCTGTCAAAGCCTTTTGGGGAGTCAGCCGAGGTGATGGCAAAGTTTGAGCATTAAAAAATTCTTCCTGAGTACAGTTTGAAAAGCAGATAATATCCATGCTGGTTTGGGACTTGTCAAATGCAACAACTATTCAGTAAATCATTGATTTCTTTTCATAGCTTTCCTTTACAAATACTTCACAAATACTTTACAAATATAAATACTATTTGTGGGAAATTAACCTCTGTTTTTCTGAAAGGACTTTCTGCAGGGTTTTCTGTTTGAAGCTACAAATACTCTGCTTTTGTGATTCTTTTACTTGTATCACCCTGTTTTGACATGCCCAGAGTTATTTTTGAGCTTGGAACTGGAGTGGCATTTTTAAGTGCAATGACTTTGCAGTGGCTGAAAGCAGAGTTAGAGTAGCACATTCCCAGAACTGGTAATAAAAGATCAATATTTTCTCATCAGCAGCATGTCTTTCAACTTGCATTCATTCCAATTTTTTAGGCTTTTGTCTTCCATCTCACCATTTAGAGGGTATCTAGTGCACAGTCCATCTTTCCATACATTCATAAAGTCAATGACATTGTAGCTTCTTCCTGTGGGGAAGCATGAGTACCATTATTTATTTCAATATTTTGTTCACTCCCTCTGTCTTGTTAAGTAAAACTTTCCTTGTGAAATCTTTGTGGAAGTCCCTCCTGTGATGGGATCCACTAGGCACAAATTTAAAATAAGTACTATATCCTGGCCAAAGGAAGCTTTTGCCTTAATGTTGGTACCCTTGCTCTTGGGATTCCAGCTGTCTGAAAGCAATACAGATGTGGTTCTCTGTAGTTTAGGAGTGAAATTTACCCAGATTTTTAAAATAATTCATGGAAGAGCTGCTTTTTGCTCTAAGTATGTTCAATTCTTCTATTTCTACAAAATATCCAGGGGAAAAAACCAAGTGCACTGAAGATGAGGGCATGTTTATTCATGGAAGAAGCAGTCCAGTGTTTCCTCTGCACAGATACCTTAAAACAAACATTGATTTCACCTGGTACTTGTGGACTTTTAAAAAAATGCTCACTATTTTAAACTTGAATTACATTTCAAGCAAACCTGGCTTCAAAACCCCTAACCAACCCCATGTATATTTTAATGTCTCTTCTACTAAAGAGTACATTTTAATATCGTTTACTATTTTTGTTTTATAATTTGTGGTTCTGTTGTCATTTGTACAGAAATTAGCATGCAAAATATATCTTAAAAAGTTTGCTTGAAGTGTCTGCATAGGTAACTCCAAGGATTAAAAAGTTAATTTTCAACTGGCTTCCTGTAGCCTGGGGTGTACAGTAATATTTTCTTCTAATATTTCAGATTGTCTTCAGTGTTTTTCCATTTCTTTACAAAACTGTGTTTCCTGTTAGTAGCAGACTGTGTGATCATAAAGGATGGTGAGTTTCTGAACAGAATTCCCACTAGTGTAAGTGGGCAACTTAAATTCACACACATACGGTCCAAGATTTCTTTGGATTATGCAATAAATTGTTCTTTATAGTGGACTTGATGTATAAAGGCATTAATAGAAGCAACTTCTGCTGCTCAGAGGAAATGGTGCAATGTGAAGGCAGGCGCAGAAGTACATGGAAATCAGGTGGGAATGGAGAAACATGGTTACATGGGAGAGCAAAAGTGACAGGACTCATCCTTTGGTTTTGGTCCTGTTCTCTTCCGTATCTGAGTTATGAGATCCAGCTTTCCTTCAAGAGTTTGTTTTGCATCTGCAGCTTTTTCAAACCTATTCCTAAATGTATTAATTGGCCCTTACACACAGAAGAATCTCAATTTTTTGTGTTGAGGACATGCATAGGGAAGGGTGACCTTGAGTGTGGTTTGTGTGTTTGATTTGCCCTCATTCAGATTTTTCCTCTTCAGGTTCTGGATGCACAGCCAAGGGTTGAAGAGATCAGTGCCCTGTGCCTGAGTGCACAGAGAGCTGCAGCAGTGCTGGTGTGGATGCAGCAAACAGGTATTCCAGGGCAGGATGGGGGCCAGGTGACCGTGCAACAGGCAGATTCATTTTGAGACACGATGGAGTTCAGCTATGGCAGACTGTAGGTAGGAATACATTTTAAAACCAATGGGAAATGATACCAAGAATTGTTTAAAAAAGCAACAAAACAGCTTCCAGCTACCTGCTAGCAGCATGGCCAGCATATAACTTGACAATATTTATGATTTTCTTCTAAATAATGCAATGTCTGATTTCATTAATCAGCTGTTACAGCAAGGTTCTGAGAAAACTTGTGGCATTGTTGCACATTTTCACAATTATTTGAACATGTGAAGGACACAGTCTTGTATGCAACTCTGAAGCATTTATTTAAGTTCAGGTGAGATGAAGGGAACTAAATTACTGGTTTTTTCCTTTCAAGTGCACTTAAAATAGACTATAAAACTTGAGCATTTTTCTTCCCGATGAAAACGACTTTAGGAAAAATATAAAAAAATCAACTTTGATCAAGAAGAAATATTAACTAGAATTTTAAGGCTCAAAGTGAACATTTTTGTATTTGGAAATAATAAGGCAGTTATCAATGAATCACTTCTCCAGTATTAACAGTATAAATATTTCAGTAGGTTTTGTAAAGATGTTTTTCAGAAACTAGCATTTTTAAACCTGATAGCATTAAGAGCACAGTTCTTAAATGAATCTGTATGAATCAGATTTATTGGTTGAAGTACCTAGAATTACTGTAAACAACTGTGGCTGGCAGTTGTTTACATATCAGGATGAAAACTGCAAAAAGTTGGGTTTTCCTTTCTGCAGTGTGTGCTCTCATCTCCTCGTGTTAGCAGATTTAAGGCATTCAGAAGGGTTGCTCCACCTTCCACATGGAAGCAAGGAACTCAATCCAGTGGTTTTAAGGCAAGAGGTCCAGTGATATCCATGCAGACCCAGATGTAACGCTGCTGCAGGCTGGGTTTGCATCATCCTGGACCAAAAGTTTCAAGCAGAAATAATACTTTTTGAAATCTAGAACTGCAACACAAAAGATGTCGTTTCTGCTCTAGTTTGCAATATATTTTGCCTGTTACTGGTTGTATGCAAAACCAGGACTAGGAGAAAATGGGGAACTAAATAAACCTACAAGACTGTGAATCCCTAGACAAACTGATTGTAACTTGGGAGGTTACAAAGCTGAACATTTATATATCACACTTACACAATGCTCCACATTGTGGTGGTTTCATGGACTTGTGGAAGTTCATAACTAACAGTGACTTCAGTGGAAGGTCTAACATTAAGTTGTGTTGCTGCAGTAGCCTGCCCTGAGTAAGAGAATGAAAAGCTGTGTTAGTGTGAAGTGGAACTGGTTATTCAGTAAAGACCAGCAATGAGCAGCCAGGTTGTTCAGGAAGGAGAAGAGTGGCTCTAGCACATCCTGGCATGGTGTGGCAACACAGCACTGTCCTACAAGGCCATTCCCCCCTTGTTTTTTCCACCACTTAACAACACAAATGTAATTTTGGTGTCATCTCAAGCTCTTCCTTATGGTGAGCACATTGTTAAACAGCATTGACATCCATTCCCACAAGCTGTATTTACAGGCTTGCTGTACACATAGAGGAGAAATGTCCTGTAGCAGATAGGGAACAACATGTAACAACTACAGACCATTTGGGATCAGAGCATGGGTTTGTTTTTATCAGAGCTACCAAAAGGAATTGCAATTGTTGACTTCTTTGTTTTGTAGGGAAATGCAAAGGATTTGGATCTTTTTGCCAGGAAATATCGATCAGGAGAGAATATTATAATTCAGCTAAGGCATTTTTGGTGATCTGCTTTCTGTAGTCTGACTCTCACTGAGATTTCTGGCGCCCCTTCTTGAATGACTGTGGATTAATCCGTCTTACACTGATCTTTGGGAAAGGTCTTTCAGCTTCTTGTCCTCGCACTTGCAAAGAACTGAATGTGCATTTTCATTAATATTGTACCACTTAAATATCAACATATCAGCTCAGGCTATAATGATGTGAGTTTGGAGACACTCCACTGATATTTCAGAGAAAAGTTGAAGAGATATGGTTTGCATGTTTGCACTGAGCACTTTCTCTTTTAATTTGCATTGAGTTTTTGATGTCAGCAATGCCTGATGTTGTAAAATGTGAAAATCACTGCTGCTGTCAGTAATACTGATCAGTAGGATTGCAGCACTGGAACCAGATATTTGCCAGTGGTGAGTATTGGCATTCCTTGTTTCTTCACTGTGTGAAGAAGTCCTGTAGCTGGCCTTGCCTAATAGGTTAGATTCCAGCAAAAAAGGAAAAGTTTTTTCTTGCTTGGATTCTTAATTTCTACTCAGCTGACAGGTAACTTAATCCAGGTAGGATATTTAGGCAGTGGAAAATAAAATAATTTAGGAAGCATAGAGTGATTTAAGTCTGATGAAAGCTAAGGGTCCAACCGGGTCCAACCTGGTCCAACCACTCACTCTCAGCCAGGCAAAGGGGCCACAGGGGACTTCCAAGCAGGCAACCTCTTGACTGGGCTTAGGGATGAATCCTGATGGCCAGGATACAACCTGGAATACTTGAGATCAAACCCTCCCTCTGATTTGTGAAATAATGGGAAGACCAGGGCTGTAGATGTGAGTTTGATCTTTTGTGTCTTAATTTCCTGCCTTTCCATTTCCCAATAGCACTGAATTGAGCTAGCAAAATCCAATAAAATTTCTTGGATTATTTTTTCCAAGAGTAGTAACTAATATTGGAAAATTTAAATTTTGGGAGTAGTTTTGGAATCCTTATGCCATCCTTAAAGCCAGCTGAAGGTAACTGGAGCAGACACACAGTACATCTTAAGTTGTGCATCTCATTACTGAAGTCTCTTAACTCAATGCATCACTTTTAATTGCCACGAATTTTATTTTGTTTGCCAGGGAAGAGGTACAACGTGGGCAACATCTGCTTTCCCATGGAAATACCTGCAGCTTTTTTAACTCTTAGGATGTTTGTGTTTTAGCTTTCTGGTATGTACAGTCTGGGTTGGGTTGGCTGAGATTTCTAACAAAAATATGCGAGTTATAATCATGGTTTTGTTTATTGTGTTCACTCAGGTGGGAAGTAAAACAGCACAAGAAATTCACTTCCTCTAAATCCTGAGGGAATCAAGAGTTAGGAACAACAGAAGCTGTATTTGTGGGAAGCTCAGTGAAAAGGATTCTCTTCTCAGTCTCTGGCTATATCCAATATTCTTTTGCTTTTAACATAACTCTTCATTGTTTTCTTTGCATATGGAAGTTTTTTAAGTTAAAATTTTAAATTTGAAGTAACCCAAGACACAGTCTAAAATGAAGGTATCTGTTAAATTTTTGTTTCATCTCTGTGGCTTTGATCATGACTGTTGCATTCTGCAGCCACGTTAAAAGCAGTAAGAAAGTGTTTGAAAACAATGTCTAGAGGAGAGGTTTAGCAGTAATTCAAAGATGCAGGAAAACATCTTAAACATTCACAGATTCTAACAACAGGAGGTATTAATGTAACTATATAGATGCCAAATATATTTAAAGCAATCATTAAGTGTTGTCACTTAACACCTTCTCTTGAGCTTTCATTTATTTGCCTTATTTATTATAACTGTTGGGGTTTTTTAGCGTTTTGCATATAACAGTTGCTTAATGTCATAACTTCTGTATATTAACAGAATTTTCTGTCTTCCTATTAGACACCACACTTGTGATTGCTTCCTAAATGGTGGTGAAAATTTACCAGGTCATAGTTCCTTTTCATTTAACTATAAAATGAGCTGGATGGTAGATGCACATTAAAAAGAAGGAAAAAGAGACTGATATTTAAAAGCCATGAAGTGACAAAGTTTGGTATCATCCAAAATCAAAGGATCACTAACATGGTAAAGGAAGAAGTATGAAGCACATCTGGAAAATAGTTTCAGCTAGGGGCTCAAGAGAGCATGCTTCAGACAAGAGGAATTCCCATTTGCTATGTGCCTTATGCACACACCCTGCACCTTATTTTATGAACCCTTACACCAAGAGTACACGCACACACAGATATAAATATTTAGGGCATACACCTGTACCTACATGAAATGCTATATTTATCTAGTCTGAAGTTCAAAAATTCTAGAATAGGCTGGCATAATAATCATATATAAAAATGAGTTACATCTTTTCCATTTAACCTGTGCTTTGTGATTATTTGGCATGTTTTTAAAATTACATTCAAAGTCTTGTTGTTTACCCCTCATTCAGGACTGGTGTTACTGTAATGTCAGTGTTTTCACTGGCAGTAATCCAGCTAATCATCATCAATCCTTACCATGGCACCTACAGTGCAGTAGCTCTAATTCAAGAAGTAAAAGTGGTATTGGCTTTTAGGTGCTGAAAACTATGTTCACTATGTAATTCTTAGCAAACTACACAGTACTGAATTTATTGCACAACACTCCATACCACAATTATCCTGCATTAAAATTATATGCAAAAGTCTGGTACCATATATTACTTGCAGCATTTGCAGCAGCAGAACACTTAATTATAAACAAGTTGCTTGTAAACCTTGAGCATCGTGAGTTGTCCCTCTTTTTTTTATTATTATCAATATTATTGTTATTATTATTTAGTTTTTTCACAGTTCTAAGTATCTCCGCAGGTGCAACTGGAACGAGTGTTTGTTTTTCAAAGTTCTTCACTCTCCACCAACTTTTGGGTTGGGGATGAAAACAGCATGGGGCTCTCAGGAGCTGGATAGGCAGAGAAGATGTCGAGTCCTTGGCTGAGGTTTGTGTAGCGGCTGCCACCGGGACGGAGCTTGAGTGCTTGTGGAATTTGACGGTGCCACTGAGCTGCAGTGACAGAAACACAGTGAGCTGTATAAACTCCAGGTCAGGTCACAAAGAAACAGTAGAAATCATTACACACCCCTGGAAAGTTGCTTCCAACATCCCTGAAGAGGGCACAGCATTGTTCTTTCTGGGTTAGGGTCTGCTCTTTCAAATATTATCATTGGCATTGTTTGTATGTTCAGTAATTTGATTGAAGGCTACAGGTAAAATTTTCATCCCTTTTCAATTCAATGGCAATGTTTGCATGGATTTCACAAAGTCCAAAATTGAATGATTGAATCTTTGGAGCTTCCTCCACAGCCTTCAATCAAAACTAAAAACATACATGAACAGAGATGAACAAAGTGGCCAGGGCTCTGATTCTGTACTGCTTCATCCTCCTGGATGGCTTTTCTTCAAGGAAGTGATTGCAATTTTTATTGCCATGCAGTGGTTAAAACTACTCACATGTTATCTAGGTTTTTTAAAATACTAAAAAGAAAAAAGAAATTAAAAGAAATTTAATCCAAAGACATATTCAGTAATTTCAAAGTAGCATTCTACGTGTTCCTATAGGAACAAATACTGCTAAAATTTTGTAAAAGTATTATATTACATAATGCCTAGTAGTATTATGTTACCTCTAAAACACTTCAGACAAGGGAAAATAATATTATCTTTGCCAGTGTTTATCTATATGGGTCTGCACCCAAATTAGATAGACTTATCTGTCTATAAAATAAAAGGGTTTGAAAATGGAAGTCAAGCTCAGGCTCCAATGCCCTGAGTATCTTAATTGGAAGACAACAATCTACATGTTAAATATTGACAGGAAATTTCTTTCCATGCTGAATCTTTCCATGCTGAATTTTGACCCTATCTGGAAGTATTTTAAAAAGAGCCTCCTTTTTTTTTGCAGTGCCCAATTTGTTTCTACTTGAACTCATTATTTACTCATTATTATTTTGCTTTGCACCCAGAGTTGCAGATATCAGATCACCTCTCGACCCCACCCATTCAAAACAGCACAAAGAAAAATCACTCCTGTCACTCACTTTGGGGTGTGAGTTGCATATCCTAGAAAATGTGGTTGGAACTGGGGAGCATTTCCTGATCTCTGTATTTTTCCTGTTTTTGCCTTGAATCCTTCATTTGAAAATTTATGTCTTTCAACATTTAGATACCTAAAGAATTTTTAAATTTTGTTTCACTTTTCTTAAATCAGCCTCTCCCAGCCCTCTCTTGAGCCTTCCATCACTGTTGCCCAATCACCACGAGGTGGCAGGAGGCTGACAGAGATGCACTGGTGACTTCTGATAATTAGGTGGGGTTTAAAAAACAAAATAGAAATATGAGTTTGAAAACATGAGCTTTTTCTTTTTGGTTCTTTTTCCTTTAAGGGTCTGGTTCTAATCCAACCAGTTCGTAGAATATATATATATATATATATATTCAGTTTATATATATATTATTCAGTGGAACGTGCTTTCTGTTTCATTATGCTGCTTAAGTGATCAAAATATGCTGCTTTTTCTATTCCACCTTGCAGAAATAACAGTTAAATGATGTAGTTCTTGAAGAGGGCTGGGGCCTTTTGAATCCTAGACAAATGCATTGGATGTAAAGTAGCCCCCATCAGTTAGGCTTGGTTTGCACCCCCTGTGCTCTGTGGGAGAAGGGCTCTGCTTTCTTGTGTGCAATTTATTGTTAAATAAATTTGTAATTACTCTGTCCGGTCAGGACTGTAGCACAGACACATCAGAGGCAGGAGAGTTAAGGTTCAACTTGAAAATACAAGCTTGTGTGTCTAGGGATTCTGGGAGGTGGAAAATGGGAGTAGAGGATATTGTGTGAAACTCCTGCTTTGGATTTTTGTCCTTACTCTCCTTTACCCCGACACAGCAGAGCTCCTTGGCCATTTAGCTGTATCATTAGATCTCTTCTGGGGCCTTATGAAGCTGTGGCCATGCTATGACTGCAAAACCCAGACTAAGAGTGGCCTTGTTTTCTTTCCCAGCCAATACCTACCGTATATGTCGAGTCGAGCAGTACAGGAGACGATGCCAGCTTCGTTCTTTGCAGACAAGGTGTACCAGCCAGCATCTGCTTTCTTGGCAGGCTGGATCAGGAGGCAGACATACCCTGTTGTATCTTGATGCATGCTGGAAAACAATATTTGGGAGTTAGCATTTCTGTAGAGCACCTCACCTTTCAGATTTTAAGTACATATTTGAAATTCAAATGGATATCTCTAGTCACAAAGAGGTAGCAGTCTGTAGTCAATAGATTTGCTTTCATACAGCCTCAAACAAGGATGAGGAAATCTCAGGTCTGTTCTGGCTCCTCTCAGTTGTGCACAGCCATGGTGTGACTGTGGGAGCTGAATTGCTACTCTGTATATGTTAATATTAGCATGATTTATTGAATGCTAACGAGCTAAACCTGCTGCACAATCATTCTGTATTCTTTGCTGGTTCAGAAGCTGGAACAAGAACATTACAAAATACCAGGAGCACTTGTACAAAGTTATGATATTTTTCACAACAGCAACCAGATCCAGTGGGAAACTTTCTTGGGGCACCCTTGTCTATGAGAAAACGACCAAGTAGGAAAATCAGAAAGACTTGTTTAGCCAACACTCTAAAAGAAACCTGCTTCATTGTTCCCTCCACTTCCTTTGCTCTCCAGTGATCTAAAACTGTGGCTGCAATTTCCAGGAAAAACTTTTCAGCACAATACAACAGAACTGAGACTCCTCTGCTCTCTAGGCTGAGGCTGGTCCTTTTTATCAATGCAAGTATTTCTCTCATTATAAAGGAAGACTTGTGAGATGAGCACTTCAGAACACTTGAAGTTCCAGGACATTCTGAAATTTGAGATTTTGTTTCTGTAGGAATTGGGAGGATACCACAAACTTGCAGGACAAGAGGACATTTTGTGCTTCCAGCAGCTCTAACAAAAAAGGGAGCATTTACCCTTTGCTGAGATACAAAAAGCTCTCTTGGCATCAGGCAGGAAGGCAGTGAGGCAGGATAGGGACAAACAGGGATGATGCTTCCTGTGGGTCTGTCCAGAGCCACTGGAAGCCTTTGGGGTTTCTGGTCTCAACTGGCTGAAACAGCAGAGCTGTCCCAACCCCAGAGCTTATTCCTGGTACCCTGGGTGTGGGAGGTTTCCCTTAGCCATTCCCCTACTGAGCTGAAGCAAAAATTTGTTTTCTAACCTTTTGTGAAACAACTGGAAGTGTGGCATTTTAGGACAGTTGTTCATTTTCCTGTAACTACAGTGTATAACCACTATGAAATTGGAACATCTACATGGTGTCATCCATGAGTTTGCTAATGGCAGACTCAATCCCCTCCTCCAGGTTATCTATAGAGAAATTAAACAGGACTGGGCCCAAACCATATAGACTGTAGAGGGTCAAGAGTTAATTGGGGTTTTTGGAGAGGGACAGTAGTCTCAGTGTGTTTCAGTTTCACTGAAAGAGTTTTCTAAGAGTGATTCGTGTCCATCCCTAAGAGGTGCTGTGCAGAGCCAGCTTTCTGTACTGACAGCCTGCAGCTATGTGTGGGAAGAGTGGTATTTCTTGAAGCTGATCTCAAAGATACAGTGACTGCACCAAGCTGTTAGTTGGACCCAAGTGAAAAAAATACTAAAATCAGATATATGCTGAAGTAGGAATCTTAAAAAAAAAAAACCAAAGCAAACAATTTATCATTAGTTACAGCCAGGCACATTATTTCATCAGCTGTTCTTTTGTGGAAGTTAAAAAACAGTGATGTGTTTGACTGCAAGAGTTGAACTGGGACCTTGTATTTTGTAAGCATGGATCAAAGTCTGCCTTTGTTTGTGACCAACTTGCTTAAGTTTCTCTGTCTGACATGATAAACTCTCTATTATCCCATGCTTTGGGGCACTGAAGCTGTTCTGAGTTTGAATTCATAGCTGGTTGGAGCTAAACTGGGAAAAACCAGAGAGAATAAGGTGCTGCCCTGCATTAAAATACCCTCTCAGAGTGTGTTTGAGAAGGAGGAGATTCATGAATTCTGTCTGGCCTGTGGTCCACAGGCTCTGTCCCCACTCTCTGAGGCACAAACAGCCATTGCTCACCCCTCAGGGAAGCAAGATTTATACAGCTTTATGGGGTGAAAGGAGTTGTTAAAAAGCACCAGCATCTGTACTTATCACTGATGTTTTCATGGGAGCAGCTGGTCCAGCCACAAGAAGCTTCAGGCGTGGGTGTCATGGTACAGTACCTCATCCTCTCTCTGTTTGATGGGATGGTCTCATTATCTTTCTTCCAGTAAAATATGGGAGGAGGCATTCCCACAACTCTGCACTCTAATCTGACAGGGTAGCCTTCTGGAACACCACAGTTCTGAAGCTTCTCCAGAAACATGGGGGCTCTTTTTACTTCCTTTGCTGGAAAAAAAAGAGATATTTTATTCTTTGTTTCTCTTTGGGTAGCATGGAAGAACATAATGAAAGTTCTTGTGATACCAAAGTAGGTTGTGAGTTTTTAGTGGGGTGTTGGAAGGGAATTGAAATGCCATGATATAACCTCTGTAAGGGAACATAAAGTAAATAATAGGCAGAACTGTAGTTCATAAAACAATATATGCATGTCTAATGGGTCTAAACATACTGCCATTGCAGGAAATTAATGCCACATCTATAAATTTCAATATCTCCCTTACTTTAAGGCTTTATTAAAGAGCAGTATTCAGATTAAATTCTTCTACTTAGAAACATTTTTAAACAAATAAAATTTGGGCTGAGATCTGGAACACCTCCACATATATATGAGTTCAAATCCTAAGGATTTTCTGGGAAGAAAGTTAAGAATGTCCTTTTGCCCAGATAAGAGAGGAAGGATGATAATGAGGCAGAATTCTTATGGCACTCTCTTAGTAACAGGAGTGCACTCATCTGAGCACCAGGTGCATTTCCCTCCATCATCTGAGGAGGAAAAAATATATATATATATAAATATAAATTACATATCTGTATCTACAGCTGTTGGATTCTCCTGCTCTCAGTGCATTATTTATCTGTACTATCTGTACTTGTCTGTAGGGAACAATGCAAGGTAAGTTTGAAGAAATGCATACAGATAACTTTATCATTGAAATTAGTTTTTCAGTGCTTCTCACCTACAACAGTGAGCTCCAGACTAAATGAATTTTGTCCTGTTTTGTTGGTGGCAAGGCAAGTGTAAGTTCCAGCATCACTTTGGGAGAGAGGATCGATGAGCAGAGAGTGCACTCCAGTCTCCCTGACCAACATCTTGTGTCTGCCATCTGGGAGCACAGGTTTGCCATTCAGCAGCCACATCAGGTCTGGAGTTGGTAACCCACTCACCTGAGAAACAGGGAAACAGCTCGAGACAAATGTCCAACTGACAGAGAGAAGTTAGCAAATTCAGAGCTAAGCCTTTTCACAAATACCAGCTGAATCATGTCAAAATCTAGACCAGAAAGGTGGTTAATTTTTTAAAAATTATTTCTGTTTTTGTTTCTCTGCTGACTGCTTTCAAAAGGGAGGAAACCAAAAAACAACCAACAAAAAGATTAAAAAAATATTAAAAATCTATATTTTTCTTAGTCAGAAAGGAAGAAACTTAGTTTGAAATATGAAATTTGAATATGAGATTCGCAAAAGACTCTTAATAATCTGCTAATTTTCTCTTTTTTTGATGCTGAATATAAATCAAATTCCTTGATCTAAAATCCTGCATAATTTAATGGAGATGAAGAAAAAGTTCTATACAAATTACTTTGTATTTTGTAAAATTTGATGAAGAATGATACAACTCTTCATAGCTGTTGAACTTGCATGCTTTAGAACGCTACAAATTAAGTATTTTTTTGAAGATTAGACCGTATTGTAGCATTAAAAACCTTTTCAATAGGGAGCAGTACTTACTCATGTCGAAAACACTGCTTTCCATGTAGCATTTTACAGAGCAGAGAAAGTGGGAAGTGGAACTTGCTCTCTCCCCAGGTCTGTGCAATGCCAGACATGCTTTAAGGCTTCCCAAGCTCTGCCAGGAGAGCAGAGCTAGGAATAACCAAATTCTTTGGCATGCTCCTCGTCAACTCTGCATCGTAAATTAATTGGTAATGAGTCCTGCTCATCTTCAGGGCACTGACTTGTGCCTCAGAGCCTCTACCCTTCTTCAGGGTAGGGAGGTCAGTGGCAACACTGTCACCTTTGCTGCGCTGCAGGGACGTGGAGGGGCTAGCAGAAAATGTTGGACAGATGATTCTCTTAAATGTGTTCAGTAACAGGATGTTCACCCTGTACTCTAACCTCTGACAGCTCTTTCATGCCAGGATTTCAATCAGTAAATGAGGATGTTTCTGCCTCTGTGCCTGCTGGGGAAGCATCAAATGAGCTGGGCTCAGTTCCCTCTTTTCAGGGAGTGCTAATCTTCAGTAATTCAGTCCAATACAATGGGGACATTTGTTTGAACACAAAGCAACGTGCTGAATCCTCTCTTTCTCACGGTTTTGTGCTATTCTGGATTATGTTCAAGAATCTGATAATGGAGCAGAACTTCTGGAGTTCATACTGGTAAAGGACACAGTGAACATATCTAGTAATTTGAACAATCTTGTAAGTGAGCATTCTGTTTCTGGGTTGTGTTTTCTGTGTTCTTCATCTTCGTATTGTTTTGAACAATATTTGTTCAAAAGAAATCCCTGGAATCATCTCAAGGACAATGGCATTAAGAAATAGTTTTAAAAATGAAGCATTTAAACTTGAATGGAAAATGCTTATGGATGCAACAGAGAACATGAAAACACACAGCACTACCTGTAGAGAGGTAGGGAAAGTGAGAGTGAGCACAGGAGGCAGTTCATACCTTACAATCCAACCTACAGAGCCGCCCTTCGTGTGCCACCATGTCACCTGGAGCCTGGAGGAAGTATGGCCTGAAAAAGCGTTCTTGAACTGCCTCTTTGTCTCCTTCTGGCACCCGGGGTCGTGTTCTGCAACACAAAAATCACATGTGTGTGTTTGCAAGTCAATTTTATTTCCCCTAATGCTTAAGAAAAAAAAATCAAAAAGGAAGAAATTGAGGAAAAGGATGGAGAGATTTCTTGAGTTACATAAAAGGGCAGAAAGAAATGGACTGATTGTCATTTAATTATTGCATATTTTCCATTTAGAAAGATTATCAAATTAACTATATAATGTAGTATCCTTAGATTCCCAAGCTGGCCTCTGCTTCTTTTTGCTTTTTTTGGCTGAATTTCATTTTGCTAATCCATCCCTTGCCTTTAGCTCCACTACAAGAAGTAAATGAAATCGTACTTAAACTTCCCTGTATTTGAGGATGACCTTCAAAAACATAGAAGTGACCTGCTGGGAGGGAACTGCTGCTGTTATTTCCATTTTATGATTGAGAACTGAAGTTCAGTGAATGCAGTGGTTATTTTGGATGCCTTCATTAAAAGCATAAAGAAGGTCTGCAGGACTTGTTTCTTTCACCTGTGAGGCTGAGTTGTTGATATTCGTCCCCGAAAAGGGACACTCTGAACCATCAGGTGTCCTGAGCAACTGATCCTCCCCTGCAATTCACAATGGAAACAGAATTAATAGTTGGTTAATGGCTTATTTCATTTTAAAGTGGAAACATTGAACACTTACAGTGCATTAGGATTTATTTTTATAAAGTAGCTGAACCATAGTGAGAATACCACTTCCCCAAAGCAAATGCTATATATATGTTATATATAAATGTATATATGAACACATTTGTGTGTATATATATATGTGTATATAAATGTGTATATATAAATGTATATATATAATATAAATGTTATATATGTTATTATAATGTTAGCCTGCAGTTGAGGCAGGAGGTTCTCAAAGTCTTCCAGGCTGTGGCAATGCATTTAGCAGTGGTGCCTGTCCTTGCTTATTTATTCATGCCACAGGTACTGCCTGCTGCTACCTTTGTGCTGGCCTACTTCAAAATGCAGCCATATAGAAACTGGAAAGAAAAAATATTTTAAAAAAAGAGAAGCATTTAAGCTGGAAAAAGTTGCCTGATGAATGTACTTGTAGCTAGCACATGGGGTCAAGGAGAATGGTGTAAGGGAGTGGGACTGTTTGCATCCTGGATAAAGAATATATTTGCGTTTGGTAACAGTTCCAAATTTGGTGTAACTATTTGTTTGTCCCTGCTCTATTCTTTCTGCCTGAAACATCACGTCTGTCTTGTCAGCATGTCTCAAAAGGTACCCATCAGCAGCTGGGAGTGGGAGGGAGATAGGGCAGGAGTTACTAACATGAAAAGATGTCCTTAGTGCTTTTGACTGTCTGTGTAACAGGGGAGTAGTTTCATCAGTCATCATCATGGTTTCCTCTCCTATGCTCTGAAGCACCTGATTTGTGATAATAATCACCATTTGATGACCAAGTATGTGGCCTAATCTGTGTTCCTATGAACATATATTAGAAAAAGATGAAACAAGCATTTTTGTAAAAGAAAATAAATCACTTTACTTGGGGGTTTGCAGCCATAATCGTGTAGTTGCCATCATCATCATTAGTAGCAGCTTCAATATATAAAGAGCATGTTCCATCTTCCTCTCTGTTCATTTTGAAATGGGAGTTTTTCTTTGAAATCTGCTTGCCATCCTTGAACCAGTAGACCTGTAGTGATCAGACACATCCCCATGACGTAACAGTAACTAGCAAAATAACAAAAGTTGAGAGATAGCTAATAAAATTTTAGAATATTATAAAGTTCACAGATCAGTTATAACAACAGAATGATTCCAGGTTGAACTCAGGCAGCTGCATATCATAGCTGGGCCTGTCAGGTTCTCTTTTCTTGGCTCCGGGCACGTTTCTGGTCAGATCAGTTCTCATCTTTCTGGAAAGATCTGGGGGCTGTGGAGTTCTGCATCTGCTGGAGCCAGGTGGTTGGATCTAAAGGCCTGATGCATGCTCAGGAGCAGATACTGTTATTTTAGAAATGATTCATTTGGGAGCTCTCTCCACAGAGCCACGTGCTTTGGAGGGATGTACAGAAACTAGAGTGGGGTTGGGTTTTATTCCTTTACCAGTTAGAGTGAGAGTGACATACCTTGGGAACGGGTATTCCAACTATTTTACAGGTGAATGTGATAGGGGATCCTTCCATTACCCGAAAATGCTTGAGTCTCTTATCAAAGATGGGAGCTATGTATTTGCCTGTAGGGATTTCCTCGTGTTGGACTTCATCATCTGATTCATCCACCGGTGTCCGCTCAAGGCGAAATTCGATTTCATTCATCAGCCTCTGTTCAAAGCTTGAAATCCTGTATTCCTGCAGGGTGAGAGGGGCACAGGTCTCAGCAAAAACACTCCTATCCTGGGCTATTTGCAGCCACTTTTAGACTAATTCTACAACAAGCAAAATAAAAAAGCCTAAGTAAACCTAGGGCATCCTGAAACAGTCTGAATTTGGTTTGCAGGCACAGATCAGGCAGTGGGGGTCTGCACAGTGTAATGATGCTGAGTTTTTTCACAGGCAGCAAAAGAAATCAAACATGTAATTCCTCTAAGTCCCTGTCAAAAAAAAAAAAATTACACTCTTGGACACTGTTGATCAAAAGAAATCATTAAAACACATCAAATTTTTGAGGGTTTTGTGTTCAAATATTAGTCACCTGCTAATTATAGAAGTGAATGCTGTATATTTTAGTTCATAATTGAATAAGGGGAACTATACCTACTAGAAGAGAAAATTAGGAAGAAAGGGAAATATTTTCAGAATAATTAACTTCAGGTTAAACTTGGACAGATTTCTTGCTGACGTGTAACTGCGAATGCAAAATATATTACATTGTAATTATTAGAAGATGAAACAGATTATGCAAGAAACCCAGCATATTCCTACATAAATGAACATTTCCAATTTGATGTGATTATGAACTTTCTCCTGATCCCCTGGATTCAATTAGAAACATCAATTAGCTGTTTTGCATGAGGAAATCTTCTGTCTAGACCAGGAGGCATCTGACCAAATGTGTCTTGCTGTGACTTGTGAAGCCTCAGACCAGGAGCCCTACAGCTACACCTGGATGCACTTCTCAGGTAGCTCTTGAGTTCCTGGCTCAAGTCATTACAAACTGCCTTTGCTGGGGGAAATCTTGTATTACCTGTAAAAGAAAAATCAGTTTTCCCAGAGCTGTATTTGTGCATGTTTTAAGCCCAGAGTTTGCATTCCTGCTTCTACTGAATATGGAATTTTAGAAACCAGCAAGTAGTAAATAAGGGTGTAGCCAATCCTTAGATATATTCAATTTGCTGAAAAAAACAAGGTTCAGGAAATGCATCTTGTCTGAAATCTTATAGAATGTTAATTAAAGGACCAGCAGATATCCCAGAATGCTGGTGATTACATCCCTGATCATTTAGCCATTCCATTTGACTGCTGATTATGCCTTTGACCAACAGTTTCCAGGGATCAGAGAGAAAAGATGGAGAGGCTGCAAAAATTTTTAGCAGACAAACTCTTCTGCTTTCTTCAGGAGACCAAGGAGACAGCAGTGGCCAAAAGTTTAGACATTACAGCAGAGTTTTGAGGAGACAGGGATTTGTCAGACTTGGGGGTGAGAGGAGGAAAATGTGGCAGCCACAAAGTAGAAAAAGCTGGAAATCGCTGCGGTGGGATAAACAGCCTTGGCAATATCTTATTTTGGAACTGGAGTGGTAGATGCTGTGTGTTTTCATCTAAAATGTCTATGCTGGGGAGGTTGCTTGAAGGTTAGCTGTGGTAAGAAAGGAATTTGGTGACTGAAGCTGCTCCTCCTTGCACTGGTGCCTTGTTCTCAGGTGCTGCAGGGCTGTTTGTTCCATGCTGCTTCAGAGCAGCGCGGAGCTGCAGCGTTCCGGGAGCACTCACAGGGAGCTGAGGGTGTTGAGTGCCCCCTCCAAGATCCCTTCCTCACCTTTGTCACCTTCCCCTGCTCCAACAGGGCCGCTCTGCTCTCTGACACTGCCCTGCTGTGCCAAGCAGAGCTCTCAGCTGGCTGTTCTGTCCCAGGGTGAGACGTGCCAGAGGCTGGGAGCCAGGTACCAACCACCTCCCCAGGAGCTGGGCAGCACCAAACAGCCTGCTAGGGTTTCATCTCCTTCAGCTTTTCTTCTCCCAGGTGGCAGGTCTCAGCAAATTGCTTTATAGATCAAATTCCTATCTCATTATAAAGCCAGTGTAAAGCTGGAGTTTCTCTGATTCCTCACCAACCAAGTGGATCATTTTCCCTTGTGGGTGGCAAGAACTGGTTCTGGTGTTCCAAGGGAAAACTAAGCCATCAGTGTTTTACCCTTGATACTCAGAACAGGCCTGTGTCTTTTTTTAGGAAGGCAGAATCATGTAAGAATCAGGGAGTGGTAAGAATCAGAATCCCTGTAGTAGAGGGAAGTAATGGGGCTAGAAAGGCATGAAGGCCTCACCATTACACTTTCAGGGCATCACGTTAATGTGGAAGGTATTGACTGCAGAACAAAATGCTGCAGAACAGAGTTACATTTTGAAATATTGCAAGCTGATGGCACTGTCCAGTATTGTTTATAGACAGCTGAGTTTAGGCAGCAGCTTTTCATATGGATTTTTTTTTCTAGAATCATTGCTGTCCAAAAGAAGTCATGGTATGCTGTGAGAAATTAAAAGCATAGTCATGATGGCCTACAGATGAAATCAAATAATGCTGATAGAGACAATTAACATCTTCTTTTTCCTCTACTCCAAAACTGTCTTAAGTGATCTAACCAACTAACATAAATAAAACGTAGAGCAATCATTTTCAAGTTGTATGTAACCAAATTAACCTTGCATCTGCTTTAGGTCCTAAGAAGTTTTCTGTGAACACAGTGGATCATTTTTTTTCCTGGCATGATGTGCTGAGGATATTAACTTCCTACAAATTACTTCACTAAGAAATATGGGCACTTCTTCCTTTTCAAATGTCTGCTTGCAGAAGAAAGTACAGCAGAGGAAGGAATGCAGTTCATGGGACCCTTTGAAGTTAATCATGGGTGAGTTTTCTCCCACGTTTCTTTGCATGTGACCCTGGATGTATGTGCACACACACAGAAAGAGGTATAAAAGTAGAATACTTTTAAAATACGTTTTAAATTAGAAAACATTGAAGTCAGGGTTCCCACAGCCCCTGTTTTCCTGTGTGTTGCCCTCATACTTTGCTTTTCTAAACCTGTTCTGTGTGCATATACATGCTTGTGTAAATTTACGACCAAACCAGCAAGACCAAGTGAACTTTCCTGTGAAAATTTGAATGCCAAAATTCAGAGGCCAAAGAAAGAACAGAAATCTCTGAAATAAGTGAGAATACACTTCTGTATGCAGAGTATAATCTTGGAGGTTTCTGCTTGTTTGGTGGGGTTTTTTTTAGGATTAGCAAGAGCAGAAAGGAGTTGTTAATTTGGCTTTCTGAAGAACTGTTTTTATCAGAGAAGCCATAAGCCTGTTTCTGAATGTGATTACAAAAGTGGTGTAGGGCAAAGTGTTGTGGTTCAGACAAGTATTTGGTAAAGTGTCACACAAAGAACAAGCCCTTGTAGCCACGGGGTACAATGTTAAAACTAGGCTGCAGTTCAGCATACTGAGGAGACTGAGGGAAAGAGTACAAAGGTTCAAGCCCTGGTTTGGAATAAAAAAATGTAGCATTGCAGCTCCTTTTTTGGCAGCTTTCCTAGAACATGAAACTTTTACAGGCTGTAATTCACACACTTATTCAATACAGTAGCCAGATATTTAAATTATGATATCTACCAGCTACAAATTCAAGCTCCAGTTCAGTGGTGTGGTGCTCTGTACAAAGTATAATGTATATAATGCATCTGTAATTGTCTATATTTATCTCTATAGGCTGGGTAGATTGCAGCTTTGGAAACCTGGCTATTTCTCCTACATCTAATGCACATTGTTTAGTGTGCACAGTGTGCAAGAGGGGAGTAGGCAGCAGTGCTTGTGTTAATATTGTCACAGTATAGTTTGAAGGGTAAAAGACTTAAAACTGGCCAAAGCAAAGCCAGGACACATACTGGATATGTATCTGGAGTGGTTTTGTACTGTTCTAGTGGAACTCTGTGGCAGATGGAGAAGTGCAATGCAGCTTTCCTTCTGCTTGCCTTTGCTCTGCCTTGGCAATGTTGTTGTAGGCTGCTGGTGGGTGGCTGTACTTTGTCCTGAACAACAAACTAAATCATCTCTCAATGCCAATCTTGCTGAAGGAACAGGTTCACATCATTTTGTCTCTGTGATGGGTCTGTTTGGCTCCATCACCATCATTTTTCACAATCTGAGAGCACAGCACCCTTCAGGGCAGGGCTGTGGACTGCATTTTACCTGTGGGAAATTGAGGCCTAAAGAAGCTGAAGGACCTGTTAAGGTAACACAAACAATCTGTGGCAGAGCAGAAAGCTGAATCATGGTCTCCTAGATCTTGTGGAGTAGTTTAACTCCTGGGCCTTTCTGCTACCTGTGAACATTTTTGGCAAAAAAGAGGAATTGCATAGAGTGCAGTAATTCCTGTTAGATTCTAAGCACCTTTATGTATGAATATGAGTTCTAAAATCCTGCATCTGTTGTAGTTCAAATCTATCCTTAGCAGGATTCAGATCTCAGTGAATATACATACTAGCAGTTAGTAGAAGCTTGTAGAATCAAAATAATCTCATGTTAGCATAGTAACTCATGGAAATTACCACAAACAGAAAGGCTAGGGGAGCTCTAGTCAAATGTTGATTCTCGTGTACTATATAAAAACAATTCTGTTGCCAACTTAATGCCAACGCTAGACAAATTTCCCAATTTAATCCCAGTTTTGTAACTTTTACTAGATTGCATTTTTGGCAGAATTATTCTAAATCCATGTAACAGTTTATCCAAGAAAATGGCATGTATTGCATCTCAGCATCTGTTTCCAAGCTGTAGCACTCCTTAGCTTCACAGTCTAATCTTGGCTATTCTGGCTGAAATCTCCTGATTAGTTTGGATTCTCTCTCCTCTCCCTGTTCCCCTCTCAGCAGTGGGAATCCAAAAGCAGCAGATCCAATGCACAGGCTTTTCTCTACTTTCCATGCCCTGTGAAGAGGTAACTCTGGGGTGATATATGTCCTGCAGATTAATTATATGGCATGAATCTCATGCTTACCCACACACAAACCCACAAAGAGCCTAGCAAGGCATTGTCTAGCTAGACAATATTCAAAATACAGTTCAGAGTGATGAAGCAAGAAGGAGGAGAAAGCAAATGGAGTTGCCATCTCCAGTTCCCACAGACTTTGTAGCTGCAGTGAGCTTGTGCAAGCATGAAGAGCTCAGCTTCCCTCTCCAATGTGAGCTCTGCAAGCCAGGATCCCAACCATGAAAACCTGTCTGTACTTTCTTATTGATTAGATCTAGGTCTTGAGCCACAAGCAGTTGTTCCACTGCTCATTGCCACAATTACAGGGAGTTTCTACATATTAATATCCATTTGTCTTGGTCAGATTCTTAAATCTCTTTTAATTTTTAGTACAGAGCAGACAAGTTTCCATGAGGAGTCTTTGTGATCAAATTCCCATCCTGAGTCTAAAATTGCCTACATTTGCTGACCTTTGAGAGATGATGCGAAGCTTGATTTTGAGCCAGATTTTTGGAGTGATTGAATGAAGTGTATTTTCTGTGCCCTGGGAACGGGGTTCTGGGTGATTTGTGGGGGCTCAATATGGGAACTGCAAGGAGATGGTTCTGTGGGATCAGTGTTGAGGTTTTACTGGTGTCAGGGCCTGTGTGATGAACTGGGATCTGCACATGGCTTTGGCTTTTAGTGATCTAAAAGCTTTTGGACAAACCCTGCATCTCTTCTGCTCTGAAATTTCTTATCAATCATACACTAGCAAAGGTAAAGAATATTCATGTGAGGGCTGTGCATCATTTTCTAAACAGCTGTAGGTTTTTTCTTTGTCCTAAAAATAAGGCTGCTATCTGAGTCTTACATAAGGCACAACCAATCAGCACTGCCACGTGATATTCTTCATAGTAAATGACACAGATATGTGAGCATGGTTTTTAGTTCTTATAACCAAAATGTATAAACCAGGCCCTAGTATTTAACTCTGCTTTCCTTTATTAATGCATGGCTGATTCATTTAGTTTTATTACTGTACAGGATTTTGAGGTTTAATTACCTCATTTTTCTCTTTTATATTATTTGTTTAACAAAATGTTGGGGAGATAATACCATTCATTTCTAAGTTTTGCCTGTAAAGCTGAATTTCTCTGTTAACAGAGGAAATATTTATCAATGTATTTATATTAGTGAAGCCCATGGATGCTCTCAAATACCAGGTGAAAATAATTAGTTTCCATTTACACATTTCTATTTTTCCATTTGCAAAAGTCTCCTTCTTTCCTTTTCTCCCCACACATCATTTGTGTCTATGTGACACATTCTGACTGAGCATTACTGAGATATTTTACTTGAAAGTCCCAATGGACTAGACTGGCAGATTTTGGGAAGTGGAGATGGAAATTCTTCCATCAAATGCTGCAGTTACCTGACACTCACTGAGGTTATGAGACCTGGATGCTTGGTCTCACAGCATTTCAGTCTCAGTCTCCAAGAGAAAACTCCAAGCTTTGTGCCAATAAAACATTCTGGGGGTGGAGAGGAGTGCATGGGGATGTTCTTTGTCCTTCTTGTCCTCTTTCACTTTGCAGAAATACTAAAACATCCACTACAGCTAGGACAAGAATGCAGGTGGTTTTTTATCCTCATTTCTGAGCAGTAGAGTGGTTCTTTTTATATTTCTCTGTTCCTTTTCTTCATCACAACCTGGAAGAAAAAATTCTAACAGCTTCCTCAGAGGAATCCTCATCATTGAGCTGAAATGCTCTTTGAAATATCCTGCTAATTGGGGGCCTGTTCTTGGTGCCTGAGAGTCTGAAGTTTTATTCTTGGAGCTGGAGAAGGTGTTTTTCTACCACCTAGTTAGCTTTCTAGCTTTTCTAGCTCAGGTCACCTGTTACAGAAGCTGTTCTGAAAGGTGGAATTTCCAGATTTTTCTCCTGCTGTTAAAGAATGCTTAATTATTTGAGCAACCTGGGACAGCACCAATGCCACATGTACCCACTGGCAAGGAGTGAAGCCTGTCCTTATGGGAATTCAGAGTTATGAATTCAATTGTCTTCAAGCCAAAGAAGACACTGAGTCAAGTCTCCTCTATCCTGGGATTTGTCCTAACATCTTCCTGTGATTGCACAAAACCATTAGGGCGCCCTTTGTTTGAAAGAACTGAGCAAATCTGACTGAAAATGTTTGGGTGTAACTGAATCACATATTTTTTTTCAGCACTCCTAATTGTGATGAAATTTCACCTGGCACTAAAGCTTGCCACCATCTGCAAAGTGACAGGTATGATGTTTTTTTTCTGGTAAAAATGACAGCTTGTTATTGCATGTACTTGATCAAAGTTGCAGTTAGAATCTTGGCAAAGTCGTATTTGTATTTCTGTCAGCACCTCCTGGTCATCATAGCTGTAGAAGCCCAGAGACTTATCTGTTGTGTCTCATGCAGCATCAGCAAAATTCCCAGCTATGCTCTGATCCTGGATTTCTCTATTGTTGGTGATGAATGATGTACTGGATGAAGCAGAAGGAGTACATCTGGATTATCAGATATCATGCTGAGTGCATAATGCTGACACTTGGGAAAAGCTCATCTTGTGAGCTAAACATTTTTCATATGGAAGTCAATTTTAGACAATAAATAGAGCACCAGAATGCAAATCCCTCCTGTTCATTACTGCCCTTTATGTGGTAATACAAGACAATACCAGGACTTTAAGGCACAGGCTTGTCATCTGCAGCATTTGTTCTGGATGATCCCTGCATGCTCTGCAGGTATTTTAAATGAGAATGAACTCTGCTGTTGAAATGTGGGGTCCCACTACAATGCTCTAAGTAAAAATACACCAGAGGACACATTTTATGAGGAGGAATTTTAAAAATAGCATGTAGACAGTGCAAGGAAACCAACATTTGAGATTCTTACTGGATGCTGTACTGAATTAGGCAGTGATCTCTCACACAGAGGAGACTTGCATTTGTATTTATGAGAGGGTAAGCCCTTTCCTACCATTACAATAATTAACTTAATACAGATAATTCTGTCTGTGGAATTAAAATATCTCCCTTTTAATTCTGTGTTAACAGAGGAAAAAACAGGACAAAATATATGGGTGTGAATCCAGCACTCCAGCATATTATTCTGATGGTGTTGGTTGTTCTATGTAGTGTAAAGCAATAGGAACTTTGGATCCTGTCATCTGTTGAAACAATCACTGCCTTCATTGAGGAGAAGACTCAAGCTTGAATTTGCTGGAGTAGGCTTTTCTCAGGTGAGAAGAGTAAAATCAGAAGGAATTCAAGTTGGGAATTGAGAGGAAAATGAGGAAACTTTTATCGATTTTACTTCATTGCCATTGGCATTCTAATTACTGTAACAAATAGAGAGGTGCCAGCTTTGAACTTTTTCCATGTTTGAGGAATTTGAGTATCAAGATTTAGGTTTGGTCTCATACAGAATAGCAAATAAGTGTATAAATAGCTTTTGCTGTCAGCAGATAACTTTGCCACTAGTACTGATGGTTGTTTCTAAAGGGGTTATCATGCAGTTAACTCCAAACACTGCCTGGTATTTCACAGTAGCCCTCGAAATAATTTGTCTTACTAGCATAGCGAGTACAAATTGCAACACTTGTGATTCATCTGCAAAACGTTTCTGCTTGCCAGTTGTTTTACTCAAAGTGCTTTGGCAGTGTTGTCTGCCAGAAAGAAAGGTCAGCAGCAAAATGAAAAACCCCCAGGGATTACACTGCAGTTGTCCTCAGAGGGGACTTTGCTCCCGAGCCTCGGTGGCGTTTTGCTTCTCTGTGGACGTTCTTTGTCAGAGGGGCTGGTGGATGTTGGGAAAGGTTCTTTGGTTGACAACAGATGAGGCCAAACCCTGATTTGCTGCTCTAATCCTGAGCTGTGGGACAGCTATGGAGGGCTCCATGGCCAAGGTGAGAGAGGAATAATCACCTGCAGGCAGAGCAGCTATCTAATAGTCCTACTGTTTTTTGAGGGGGTTGAACCTGATTTACAGTCATTTCCACCTCTGAATTCTGTGTCACTTTTTATTTCTTCTTTAGTTTCATAGACAGTGCACAGATCCAGTGTATTTATTGATTTCAGTTAAGAGTGAACTGATATTTTGTTCCTTGAACTTTGTAAAAGGTTTTTTATTTTGCTAAATTCTTGCAATAAAGTTCTCCGAGAAGTCCCTGTCAATTCATATAAGTTTGGAAATTTGGAAAAATAGGTTTAATGCTAAAAAATTGAAAGCCCATTTTAATTCAACCAAAAGAAAAACAAAAACCTTATCCTAATCTGTTTTGTTATTTTACTCTTTGTTTCAAAACATAGAATGTACAAATGTGAACGTACAATGAATTGAGTGTCTTGAAAAGCAATAAAATAAAAGTGAATTTCCAGAAGCTTCCATGAAAATAAAGACATTTTACATTCACACCAGCCTTTGAGATGACCAGAAATGAAAAATGCTGTTCAGTCACATAGTAAATTTTCTACAGCTGCATCCCTCATGGTTTCTGTTTAAAGCTCCAGTTTCCTATTCCGAAGCAGTGTAGCAGCTCACCCACACAAACACCTATTTTCCCACATCATCATATACACCTTGTTCATGAGTGAAATTTATTTTAATAAGTCTCAGTTTTCTTACCTGCTGACCACTTTGTTGATTAGCATCCTCTCTGAAATGCAGTTTTCTTTCCAGGTCCTTCACAAGTGCAACTTTGTTTTCCCGAATAGAATCTTCTGTTGCTAATGGCAGAGGCTTCAGGTTTTTCTTTGTTAATCCCTGGGTTGGGCTATTAAAAAAAAATTCTGATACTAACATGCAGCAACCAGCACATATATATTTTATCACAGATATGATATGGTATGGATTAATTTTGGTACTATAATAATGGGGCATCCCATTCCCATGCAGTAGAAATTAAAAACACACATCTTAAAGAAAACAAGGGTTGTAATGCTACAGTAAGCATCTAAGTTCCATATATATTTATCCTGCAATAATGATATCAATAATGATATGGTATTTATTAGGAAATGCTAAAGAAGTGAGTGTAGGTGTTACCTTAGGTGTACAATGTGTACATTTGACTGGTATCAGGCAGTAATTTAAATGTTAATACAAGTTCTCATTGATCTTTATCTCACATCTTCATTGATCATTTACTCTTTCCAGGAACTTTACTTCTTTAATTTCTCTCGTCCTTTTATGACACCTAACATCAACAGTTATTTTTTGTTTTTATATTATAGGTGTGGTCCATTTAATTTTAGTAAGGTTTGAAAATAGTAAAAGACAGACACAGGGACACATTTTTGTGTTGTAATAGCAGATTGGTTGATGTAGTATCAGCAGGATAGTCAGGAGATTGTGACTTGCTGGTGACTATCACTACCTTGAACTGTACCACTGATAAAAGGGGAAAATATTCCTTACTTTGTGCAGGATTTGGAGTTCTGTGGGTAAATAGTTGTACCAAAGAACAGGCGCTAGCCATGCTAACACAGAGTTCACATAGTCCACAAAAGGGAAATTTGCTTCAACTCCACCTGTAGAGGCTCTTAAGGCCACCAACTTTCCAGTACCTCATCATCTTTATTTGCTTGTATCTTGGTAGCTATTTTGTCATTGAAATCATGCTAGCTGTTAATTAAAGTATTTATGTGCAAACCATTAACTCTCCTGAAATTATCTGGGGAACTTCAAATGTAGAAAGTACTGCAATCAGAAAAAGACCTTTACATAAATTATTTCTTAGATTCACCTGGACTGAAAAATAAAACAGCTTGCAGTATAAGGTACCTTTAAAACTTTATTTGTTGCTTACAGTAGGTATGAATGTTTTTATACCTGGTATAAATAGAGTGACTTTTCCTGCAAGCTCATGAAATCAATTTTCTCACACTGGTGGAGTCTTATGAATGTCTGAGCCCCCACATTCTTGTTTATCTGTTTGTAGGATCCCATTTCTCTATCTTGAATTCTGTCTTATTACAGAAGGTGTTATCCCTTCTTTATTGGATGTAAAGATTAGATTAAATGACTAGAATATATAAGTCACTTCTCTATTTTACAAGAGACTTGCCTTTCAGGGACTCCCCCACTGACCACCTGAACAGAAACACATCCTGGTTTCCTTTGAGAAAAGACAACCTGCTTTCCACCTGCTTTTGTGCGTGTGGTTTCTGCTACTTACGTGGCTGGTGTGCTTCTGGGCAGTCCCATGGCGTTGGTGGATGGCGTGGTGGGAAGTGAAGGAAGAACAGCACTAAGGAAAGCGACTGGATTCTGGATGCGTGCGGTTGGGGAGAGGGGAGCGGGGGTCACAGTCTGTGGCTGGAACTGTTTTACGCTGCAAGCAGAAAACACTAATGGAGGCACCGCTGCTTCTTTGGGGCTTGGTAGAGACTGTTCGCTTTTGCTTGTAAAGCCTCCTGATGGCCTGGACGGGGCTGCTGGAGAATTTGCTATGAAGTTTTCTATGTGGTTTGTTCTCTGAGCCGCCTGAGAGATGCTGCTGAATGTGCTGGAGGAGCTGGCAGAGGGGCTGGCTGGCGGTGTTTGCGGTGCCAGGAACTGCTTGGGGCGGCCGTAGCCAAAGGATGGCGAGGCAGAGGATGAGCTTTGCTTGTACAGGGTTGAGGTGGACTGCTGGTAGAGGGAAGTAGCAGAATTCACCAAAGTGCTGTTGAATGACCACTCTCTTAGAGATGCCTGCTGCACCTGCTGTTGTTCGAGCAAGACCTGGTTGTGGAGCTGTTTTAACTGGCTCTGATCGCTGCACAGAAAATAAAGATGAACAGAATTGGTTATGAGCCCCGAATGAAGCAGTTGCTGTGTTTCCATGTATGAATGCAGAGAGAAAAATTCTATATCCTGTGATACACTAAGAGACAGGAAACTGCTACATGACATTCTCTAACATTATGAGAAGAGCATATTAGTTTGCTACTAAAACAACCTTTTCCTTCATCTCCCCTTCTTTGCCAGAGGCACCAAAGCTTTTTGTCTGCAAATTATTTGACTGAAGATAATTCTTACATTTTAGCATGTGAAATATAAATATAAATCTTACTCAGAGATATTTAAGGGGTAGCATTGTCAAAGTCAATTATGTACCTCTTTGCTTGTATTACTAAGAGTGAGATTTGGTGTATCATAATTTAAATGAGTGATTGTAAACCAGATTGCATTATTTACCTCCTGCTGAAGTTCTGAAACCAGCACTTTGACTGATAAAGATTTGTACTAATCCACCATAGGAGATATTACCAACGTAGTTTAGGTGGTTTTGACATGCAGGAGAGGATAATTCAGAGAGGACTTGCATTCCATGCAGTTGTTAATTTTCTAGATGTTATCTACTGGATAGTTTTTCAGGGCAATTAAGGAAAATAATTTTGTCTTGTGAAGCAGTTTATTTTGTTATTATGTCTATGGAAATACAGCACAGGAAAAGCAGGAGAGCTTTTTCACTTCCAAAGCCAGAAAAGACATAGAGGATATGGAAAATGATTGTGTAATAAACTGTGGACCATTAAATAACTACTGATAACAAGTGGAAAATGTAGATGTAGAGACCAATCACAACTGCTCCTGACAAAGCAAATACATATTCAACATAATTTGGTAGTAGTTAAAAGTCTTTGTTTCTACAATGTACTAAACAAAAACCCCATTAAAGGCAGATAAAGATAGCAATTTCAAGCTTTCATAAAGCAGAATATAGAGAGTTAGTAGCTGTGTGGGCCTGATTTTGTGCCCTTCACATACACATCTGCATAATAAAACAATCCTTTGTAACACAGCTTTTTTGGGAAGGGGAGCTGAGAGAAATTCTGCTTTTTGCAAGTATTGGGTACTTAAATACAGCTTCTGCCTCCTGTTTTAAACTCTCTATAGCTCAGGAAGTATGTAGGGCTGTGAATGTGAGCTTCACAAATTAAAACCCTGTGCTCCAAGTTCTTCCTCTGCTACCAGGAATACAAGTTCTGTCTTCTTGTAATGCTTATGCTATGAAATTACATCCTTGCTTAAGAGTACCAGTGAATTACTTGATAAAGTCCTTCCTGAGCCCTTAGGTAAAACTTCTGCTTATTTGAGAAATGAAATGAAGATGTTTGTGTGCTTTTTGTTAGGCTATATGTGGGAGGTTGAAAAAAAATGCTGAAAATACTTCTCTTAATAAACTGCAGTGTGAATTCCATCAATTGTCCTCTAAGAAAACGACATTACTTCTTCTCATTTCCCCTTCAGCTCCCAGTGCACCAATCAGGTGCTTTTTAGTTCAAGTGGTTTCACATTATCAGGCATTTCCAAGTATTTTATCTGTTTTAGGAGGAGATGACGTTTGTGGGACGTACAAGTCATGAGGCACGGCCTTTGGGACGACAGTTTCTCGCTGGCTGCCAGTCTGTACTGTGTGTAAGATTGAATTTGTCTGATTTGGGCAATATTTCATACCCAGAATTGAGTGAGATATGTTTGAAGAACCTGCTTTTATTTTGCCTGCATAAGATCAGTGTTCTCCACCTTTTGATTGCAGCAGAAAATGCTGTGGAATTAATAACATTTCCAAGGGAAAATATTTTCCTTTTTCAATTGGAGATCACTTTTCCTTGCAGGGATATACAGAAAAAATAATCTAGTGCTGGAGAATTTGTTTTCTAAGATTATGGTTAATTGGGCCAGTGCCATGAAATCTTTTTATTCTGCATTTGAGTTTTTGCTCCAGTGCAATAGTGTCATGGTCAATAAATACTAAATACTACCAGTGATGCTCCTGAGAATTAGACTTTTGTTTACTTACAGCTTTGGCTTAGCCAGTACTGGGGGAGGTTCCTTGGATGGTGATGTTGGCTCTGCTATTTTCATTGGCTGTCCATTTATCTTCTCTGGGAAATGGTTGGGTCTGATTTGGTTTGTGGCGCCAGGTCCATCCTCTGAGGACGACTCACTTCCTTTTTCATCTTCAGGCAGCTTGAAGTGGACACGGAGCCCTGCCTTGGAACTCGACCTGGGCTCGTTGTGGTTGACAAGAACCCCTTCCAGTTTAGGTTTGGGTGTTTGATTTGCTCCCTGGCTGGCAGGAGTTTGTGGGGGAGGCTGGTGCTCAGTGGCGACAAAGTCGATAGAGCTCGTGGTGTGAAGGGCAGCAGCATTACTGCTGTCCTCAGGTGCTGAAAGAGGAAAGGTGAGACCTATGGGATGTGTAAATGCCAGAAATCATAGTGAAATGAAATCACAGGAGTTACAGTTCGAAAAACTCACTCTAATGTCTTTCCAGCTGTTGCACTGAGTTGTTAGACCTTGTTTGTTTCGGAACAAATTCCCTTGGAAAAGGAATGTTGTAAAGGGAAATCTTGGAGAATCAATCAGTGATCTACAGCCACGTCCCCAGAAATTATCCCACTACATCTTTGAAATACAAACTTTCTGGTTTTTCCCCCCAGAGAATTCTCACACTTTTTAGTTATGAAAAACATTGCCAGAACTTGAGCTGCATTGGAGTCAACAGTACACAGCATAAATGCTCTGTACCTGCTCTGCTTGCATTTGCTAGGGAGCAAAGGACTCAGAGTAACTCTTACCTTTGACAGTCAGACGAGCTATACTGGACACTGTGCCATATTTATTGCTCGCAGTGCAGGTGAAACTGCCCGAATCTTCTGAAAATACTTCAGCAATCACCAGAGTACAAATCTCCTCTGCAAAAAAAATCAGGATTAGTACTTGAAGTGAACATGCAGTGAACACACAAAACCCTGACTGCCTTTTGGGGAGATTTCCTTAAGGTCTTCCACCTTGCTCAGTTTGTTTCTAGTTCCATCAGTATTATCAATTTTGGCAGCCTTTGTGTGCAGCAGCTGTTATCAGCATTGTCTGCAGCAACTGGTACCCTCTGTGCTCCAGCATGCCCAATGAAAGCAAAGAACAGGTGTCAGCAGTGTGTGGAAAACATTAGAAAATGTTTTCCCAACACACAAAGTACAGACTTAAAAGATCTTAAAATTTAATTTGGAAAAATATACGGTGTACTCCCTGCTCGCAGCTCACTAAAATATAGGTATTTTTATCTCTGCAGATTGAAAGATTAATTTTAATTGACTGGGAGAAATTCAAGTGGAGTCACTCTGTAAGGGGGAGAAATGTAAAATACATGCATATAGACTGTTGTTCTCAAAAATAGCAGTGCAGATTTGCAGATAGAGGGGATTGTGCTTACAGAAAGTTGTCTTTTGACTTCTTTGTGAAGATACCCAATGGGCACCAAAAATACGGTAGCAAAATTGTACTAGGAAAAATGATATTCCATCTAGAAAAGTCAGTCTGGGTTTATGACATTCCTGCCTGTCAGGTCTGGGCAGCAGTGCCAGCTAATAAATACCTATTGTGGTGGGATTTGAAGTCTTTTGGTTTGGCTGTGTAGCTGGGAGGAGGAGGGACAGTAACATCTAAAGTGAATTAAAATGTGGGCTGATAACATTTCTTCACCTACTCAGAGACTATTTTCCAACAATAAACTTTCCTAAAACCCTCCAGGATAAATATTCTGGGAGTACTTTTGCAGAAGGCTATAACACAGTTAAATATGACTGTTTCATGTCATCACCAAGGAAAACCTGAGCAAACAAAGTGATTGTTTGCTATAACTATAGGAGAATAATAGTTTATTATAGTAGGATGATAACAACCAGTTGAAGGCTTTATAGTATCTAGTTTATCATGCTGGGATCTGCCAACCACTGCATGCATGGAAATCCAGATTCCTTCTGAATGAGCAGCAGGTGATGAGGCTGTGACAACTGCACCCAACTGATTATCCCCTAAAAACTGCTTCACATTACTCAGCAGTGATGCCACTGCACACTAACAGAACAGTGGCGGTGCCTTCTGGTACAAGCTCCATTTTTTCAGTCCTGAATCTCACACAGAGGCACTTTCTTTAGAGAGACTCTTTTTGGGGTAAATACAGAAGGTTTTTTTGAGAAAAAAAAACTTTTTATTTCATAAGGATTGATACTCCTTTGGTAATTTTCCATCTTGAGAGGGGCGGCTTCGTATTTTTAGTGGCAAAACACATAGCAAGGAGAGTGAAACTCATGGAGAAATAATCAAAGCTTTGTGTCTCCTCTGCTCCAACCATGTGAAGCAGTCCACATTCTGCCCTGATCCTTGATATCAGCAGATACAGCCACATTTTTAGGATTTGCTGATATCAGGGATGGAACACCTGATGTGGTACTCTCACATTACGCTGGTAGGGAGCACAGGGAATGGCTGACATGGCTAAACGTCTGATGCAATGTTCCCTAACTGGTAAACTAGATAAAAATAGCTCAGGTCTACCTCATCTCATGTACTTCAGGACCTCAGATGTACAGGGGACCCTCATACATTAATTTTATTAATCTTTAGCTCATTTAGATCCTGAGTTAAAAGTGGGTCCAAGTAGAATGGAAACTTTTCTTCAAAAGAGACTGAATTAATTCAAATTACATGTTTGTGGTACAGTCTGCAGTGAAAGGTATGTCACTAGTAGCTATAGAACGTGGGGAAAATAAGAAATTATGTTAATTAAATAATGAAGTTTTAATATTTAATGTTTTCTGAGGTTAAACCACCACATTTATGTAATGGAAAAATGATGAGCCTTTGATGATCCTCACCTGGTTCAGCCATAGATCGTGGTTCTAAAGGGAAGAAGAGGAGAATTATTAGATTGAATACAGTTATTTTTGCCAATATTTCTTTTTCCTTAAGCACTAAATATAAAGTTTGACCTTCTAAATATGATGAAATACTCTTTTTGATCCAATTTTCTGTTTAAGGGGAGGTGAAGACAGCCAGGCCTTTCACTCAATGGCATGTCAAAGCCAATGAACAATATGAACACTGTTTGGAACTTGGGAAGGAATAGGAAATAAATTCTCCAGTATTGGCACAATTCTATTTTGTCTTGAAGACAATTTCTGAAACTCTGACCCACATGAAATCAAGATATGATGAACCATTGTTTCACTTAGGTTTAGTTTAGTGTGGTATTTAAGGAATTTCTGTTGAATTGTCACAATTTTAGCGTTTCAGCAACTTAGAGAAAATTGCAGATGTTCTGACTGCATTTGAAAATCAAAATTACAGTTGTAGTAAGAAATTCACAGTGCTGCTATGTTAGCAATTTTGTTGCTTGCCTATATTTTATTAGACACAATATTTTCACACAAGAAACATACTTTTCTGTAATATCCTAAAATCTGGAGAGTCTTCTATCAGTGTTCCTTCTCTATACCATTCAACCTTTGGGGAAGGAGCTCCTTTCACCCGACATTCAAAAACAACAAGCTGCCCCTCAGAAGCTGAAATATCCTGTAACATCTAATAGAGAAAATGAATAGACAGTCAGTAAATGTCTTAATGGTCTGGATGTAGTACTGATTTCAGTAAGTTTTAATAATAAAGCCACTTAAACCCTTGAATGGCTTAGGAAAAGGTTTTTTTTCTTTTTTTTTTGAGAGCTAATTTTTAATTCTCTCTTTTTTACAATTATCTGACCTCTGCTTTGCAAATATATCATAGTAGAAATTACCTTTGTAAATACAGGAGCAGCAATTATAGGTCTTCCATCCAGTCCTTGCAAATAGTTAGTGGGGCTTTGAGCCTGTGGATTAAAAAACATCACAAGATGATGTTTAGGTGTACAGACATTATTTTATTCATATACAAGAGAAATGTGCTTTTGGAACAGCATAAAAGAGATTTTGGTGGATGAAGTCTAAAGCAAAACACCTAATGCAGTGAACAGAAATTCTGTTGTGGACAACTGATCCTCCTGGATGGAATAACAACAAAAATGCTGTTAATTACTTTTATTGCCCTACTCAGTTAATTATGGCAAGAAAAGCTTCAGCACAGTGTATTGTAACATCTTTTCTTCAGTCTTCAAATATATGTTGTCTGCTTGGTCATAGTCTTGTTTTAAAAATTCTTACTTACAAAATAGTTATTGATGTTGATAAGGAAATGTTAAGTCACATGTGTGACTGCTACTACAATTCTTCTCCTTTACCAAAACCAAACCTTTTACAGAGGTGGGATATCAACTTGTTGATCCTACTCAGTGAAAGCAGAATGGAATTGTTTTCTTCCTGGAAAATTTTATGTAGGTTGAGTATTTAATGTAGCTTTTATTATTTTAGTGTGGTAGGAGTTGTCCCAGAACAGCAGAATTAATGATTCAGTATCTCAGGAAATGAAGTAGATGGTGCAATAATTCTGGGCTATAAACTTTGAAAAGGCACTGTAAAGAGAGAAACTCAGAAACTCGTGAACTTTGCAGTTTTAACTAAGTATGGCTCCTCTTTCTTATCAGGAAAGAATTCACAGCTGTGAATATGCAACAAAAACAACTCCAAATTTATGGTGACATTAATTAGAAACCCTTGGATGTGCATAGTAAAATGTTATGTGGCAAACAAGTTTATCTACATATAAATTAAGTATAGTAGTGAAATGACTCAGCTTAAAATAAGTTTCATTGAAAGGAAAAGGTTTCAAGTGGGTTCTGTATCGAGGGAGAGGAAAACATGCAAGGCTGGAAAGTGCATGAGCCAGTCTGCGACGAGGAGAGGCCACAAAGGTGACTCCACATCCCGGTGGTGCCCTTCCAGCCGCTGAGCTGCTGGAGTGCAGCTGGGTCCCATGGAGCTGCTGGGGTGCAGCTGGGTCCCATGGAGCTGCTGGAGTGCAGCTGGATCCCATGGAGCTGCTGGAGTGCACCTGGATCCCATGGAGCTGCTGGAGTGCACCTGGATCCCATGGAGCTGCTGGAGTGCACCTGGATCCCATGGAGCTTCTGGAATGCACAGATTCCCAGTGCTGGCTGAGCCTCCTGCTCCTCCTGGGGGAGGAAGGTGCCCTGCCCTTGGCCAGCAGCTCCAGGTTAACTCGTCTGTGGACTGTATGGCTGCCAAGCTCAAAGCTGAACTTCAACAGCAAAGCAAATGCTAGAAAATTTGGGGTTCTCAGTCACAAACTGTAGAAGAAGCACTTTATGAAGAGCTTGTTTTTAGTCCTTGGAATTCACCATGGTGTCCCCCCTTACCTGGTTAAGTGGTGTTGACACAGTCTGGACAGGGACAGACCCAGGCTGAGCCACAGCTGATGGTGCCCTGGCACTCTCCTGATGCTTGGTTGCAGTTCTGACAGCAGGAGCTGCTGCATTCACAGAGGTGTTGGCTGGCTTTGGTTTGCTGTGAAATATTACCCAAGAACAAGTTAGAGCTGTGTGTGTGTCCCCAAGTTACGTCTGTCTCAGTTAGATGTCAACCCCAGCCTCACTCCTGGGGCTGATTTCCTCCTGCTCTGAACTGGTTACTCCTAAATTACTCCTAGGTAAAGCTGCATTTTTTAACTCAGCCTGCATATCTGGCCACTCAAAGATCTCATTCTTGGTTCAGCTATGCCAAATGCAATCAGTATCCTGGATTCACCCAGTTGTGGCTGTCAGCAGCTCAGAGCAGCTTGAGAAGGAAATGCTGGTTTCACAGAGGGACACTGCTAGTTTTTAATTTGTGAAGAACTGGGCAATGAAGGTAATGAAAATACCACACATTGCTTGGATATAAATTCAGTAATTAATTGCTGAAAAATAAAAGAGAGACATGCTTTCTGACCAACAGATCATCAATTTTGCTAATGTACAGATTGACAGCTCTTCACTTTGTGGTTGCTCATATATGGAAATACAAGACTTGACACTTTTTAATTTTATTGCTAGGTGAAATAATGCAGACAGTGAAGAGCTGATCTTTTTATTCAGCTTGAGGTCACCCCAGTAAAGCTGGCCTTCAAAACAGGGGAAGCTTTGCTCAGAGTGAAGATACAAATGTTGTGATCACTGACTGCTCTTTTGAACATCTTTTAGCAGCTGTTCTCATATTAACCCCCTTTAGTTACAGGTGTTCAGATTCCTGTGATGACAGTTGGAAGCTAAGCAAAAATGAAGACACTCTCCTTATACCCAAACCTGGTCTTTCAAAATGTGATCATTTGAGGACATCCTACTATGATGTCAGAGCAGCATTCTGAGAAAAAAATTACAGCTTGATGAGGTAAGTGATTTAGGGATGCCTTCAAGTGATCCAGGATCATGGTCAACCCTAATGAGATGAGTGTGAAAAATAAAAAATGCCTGTGCCATTTGGACAAGTCTGAGCTAGAGTGGAAAACCCCAGCATTCATCCCAGACCAATTAGCAGTACATCCCAGGCTTGAGATTTAACCCCTAACATTTATCAAAGTCCAGAAACCAATTCCACCTGGAGTACTTTGTGACTTTGAAGTTTAAATCGCGTACGACAGGATTTGCTGTCAGCCAGAGGCCTTCAGTCAAATACACTGCAAATGTCTCCTCTTTGCATTTAAAAACTGGCATTTGTGATGAGTGCAATTCTCCTTAGAGATGGAAATAACCAACAGGGTGCACAAGTCTGGTTATGGCCTCTTTTATCAAGCAGTGGTTGCTTTTGATGTGGAATCTGTGCATACAAAGGAGCTCAAAATAAAAGACTGATTAATTTAGTTTTCAATCAGTCTGACTCCCTTTCTAGCTAATAAAAGGACTTTGATTCTGAAAGAATTTTAACAGCATTGGATCAGGTTCTAAACCATCAGGGGATGGACTTCATTTAGGAAAAATAAATAAATGAATAAATAAACATTTCCCAGATTTTAGATTGCATCTCACGTATTTTTATAATTAAGTAGTCTTTTATAGCATCATTTCAGTTCACTCTAGTGCATGTCTATTAATTTCTTAATCTTAAATCTAAATAATCAGTCTCTACCTATATTCTGCCAAAAAACCTTGTGTATTTTCCTGTGAGAAATTGTGCTATGTTCTTTGTCCAAATCAAACACTTAAATCAGCATTTAAGCTGGATCTAGTCAAATGGCTTTTGTTTAAATAAATTAATTTTAGAATTTCAATCTTTATGGTAACATCTTCCTTCTTATATAAATATTTAATATTAAAATTTCAATTATTAATCTAGAGGACACAAAAGTAAACAAATGTTTGTTCCATGCTATTTGTAAAGCAAATAAACAAGCAGCCAAACGAAATTCAACCCAACCAATCCAAACTCATCCTAAACAGAATGATAATGTGTTGGAAGCTGCAAACTGAAATGTCTGCACTTGTGGGGTTTTTAACTGTAAGAAATATGGAGGATGTAATTGATTTTAAACTTACTGATCCATTTCGTCTCTGATGATTTCACCTTCAGAGTCAGAAGAAGAGATGCCTATGAAAGAATTTAAAATAAATCATTTAGCAGAGGGGTTTTTGAGTTTCTCTTTGAATGCCACAAAGCTTTATTCAGATTTCCTGTGGAGCACTCTATGGATATGTGTTATAAATCTGTGTTCAGACAAAAGATCCCATTGCAGTGGAAGTGACCCAGCATTCCATACGGTGCAAGGCACAGAACTGCTGTTGAGATAAGGCAGGTTTGGGAGGAGGTGCAATTGAAATAAGGAGAACATCCAAGTGGGATTGAATATACCTGGATGCTCCTCAAGTTCTCTTTCAAGTGCCACCATGGTTTTTGATTTAGTCAAAAACTAAATCAAATCATTTAGTCCATATTTGTTGTGAATCAAGTACGAGATTTCTTCTCTCAGACACCTGATATATCAGATGAAAAGGAAAAAGAGAGACCTGGAATCATAGCTGTTATTCTTGTACCACGATATAAAGATACTAGCTCTGTTTATTAACTGCTGAGAGTTACTGAGACATTTTACGCTTCTGATTCTGCCTTCACTCTGCTTGAATTTGCATTTTCTCTGCAGTTCCTGCCAGTGAACATCTCCATCAGCTGTGGCTCCCATCCAGCATCCTCTGAGTTGGGTAAAAGCAGACCTTGGCCCCTGTCTCTAGAACATGTAAATCCCTGCCAAGCACAGACATCTCCCATTAATGTCAGGGGCAGTGCAGATACTAAAAAAAGGATTTGTCCTTCCACTGTCAAATTGGAGACGTGGAAGAAGAGTAATAGCAGAACAAAATTCATCTTTAGGGCAGTGCTTTAATTTATGAATGGTCCCACTGTGCTCAGTGATGGTGCTCTCAGTATGTTTCTCTGAGAGAAAAAAGGAAATAAAAATCCTATGTGTTTATTTTAAGTTTATTTTAAGAAAACAGCACAATAAAATCTTACCCAAGAAAGTGTTAAAAGGAAATGTAATAAATACACCACTCCTAGGCCTCCTAGGTATAGTAAAAAGAATAAGGAGAAAGGACACCTAAATCTGCAAATATATATTCTGTTTGATTTACAGCATCTACTGGACAAGTAGAATATCAAATAGATGCCATATTTATTTAATAATAAATATGGGGTTAAAACATCCCAAGAATGAGTTAAGAGGAAGCTGTCCTACATTCAGTTTGTAATAATGACTGTAGGGAAAAGGGATTAATAAGAATTAGACACAAAGTTTAGTTTCTTACACCTCTGTAGAGTTCCACAGACAAAAATACAAGGTGTTTTCAGAATCTGAATATTTTTAGACTTGGATCTTGCAGTGAGATATATAAAATCTCTGGAAAGCAACACAGTAAGATGTAAGGGTGGTCCCTTGTCTGAAGAGTGTTTTACAGGAAAATAAAAATGATATTTTTAATGATGGAAAGTGTTGACTCCTGCTATGTTTTTTTTTTTTTTCAAAGCACAGTTAGCGAACAAGATACATAATTGTTTCTTAATTCTGTCTAACCACTTCCAACCATCAATTTTTTGCAACACTTGTAACATTACCTTCTATGTAAATCTCTGCAGAAGTGGAGTCTGTTCCATAGATGTTGGAAGCAAAGCACGAGTAACGCCCTGTGTCCTCCTCAAAAGCTTCAACAATAATCAGTGAGTGTCGATCCCCTGTCTGGATAATTTGAATGTCTGGTGAGTTTTCAAGCTCCTTCCCTTCACAGTACCACCTGCAAAGCAAAAAGAAATTGTTTTTCAATGAGAACAAGTGGATAACTAGGGTGATCATGTTTGGAGTCTTTCTGATGATAAAACTGGTAGGTTTAGCCTGAAGATTCTGACAGTACTGCAGGCAAGTGTTGAATCAACTGTCATAGGAATAAAATATTGATGATTTTAATAATATTTAATAAAGAGTAAAAGAGCTCTGAATTTGTAACACAGCTCTGAATTTCTCTTGAGGTACAATCAGATCTGTGTAGTGGCTTAACGTGCAGCGAAAAACACCCAGCCCTAAGTTAACAGATATCCCTCAAAGTTGTGTTTCTTAATTTCATGTGAAATCAGGATGTGACTGAAATTTGTCTTTGCTTTGCCATATAGTTAACACAACCTGCTTTTTATAAAAGATGGGAGAAGTGTTTCACAAGGTAAGAGAATCTGTTACAGAAAGAGCCAGTGAGGCAGCTGCACCAGGAATGCTGTTCTGCACGATGCTCCTCTTTAAACACTGCTACACATCCAAGGATCTGTTGGGCTCTCTAGAGCTTTCACACCCTGATCTCAGGCATTCCTAAGTCCCTCAGGGTTCCGAAGGGTTGTTTCAGTGGAAAATGCAGGAATCCACACAAAAGGAAAAGCAGCTCCTTCACAGAGAGCTCTGTGTCACTGGCAGGGAGCACCAGCTCACTCTGAGCTGGTAGGAGGGGAGAGCAGGACTGCAGAATAGAAGCACAAAAAGCAGGTGGGTCTGGAGAATTAAAGATCCAAATTAAATCTAGGCTTTATAAAGAAGATGTATTGCTATGTGTAAAGATCCAGAGTTAAATGTTTGAAATAATACTCAGAAATATCTGTATTTATAGATAAATAGCTAAATTTGAAAAGCCTAACTTCAGTGCATTCATCTTCACTGTAACTTTTCAAAGAAAGAAAGAAAGAAAATAGATAGATAGATAGATAGATAGATAGATAGATAGATAGATAGATAGATAGATAGATAAAAAATGCCTCAAAAGTATTTGTATTTTCTTAATGTGACTTTCTTAATTACATGTGATCAGCTAATGCATCTTCTGCATGTGAGGGTGGGGGCTGTCATACTGGCAATATTCTTTCTTCAATTGACTTAAGAAAAAGTTTCATCCATTTTTTATGGTAATTTGCTAAAAGAACCTGTCAACATTTGACTGATACTACAGAAAATAAGATTGTTGTGGAAAGGATAAGGATAGGTTTTTAACTGAGAAATTGTAGTAATTAATATCTCGTCTTACACTATAAGGTACCTCAATACATTTCCATCTCAGATATTTTAGAAAAACATGAATAATTTGTTTAACCACTCAATTGCAGAACTTTTAAACAAATTTGTGCTACAAATTAAGTGTGAAAAAAACCCAAATTAATGTATTAAAAAAACCCCAATTTCTAAAGAGTCCATATCAGCAGAAACCCAGAATATAACAGAAGTAAAACTGAGAATTGAGGAAGGAGCCTCAAGGGGTCTCTGAGGTATGAGGGGTACAGATCTAGCACTTAAATGCCCATTCTGTGGGTAAGCAGAGGACCAAGCCCTATTTGTGCCCATCCAACACAGCTTCCTCAAAGCACACAGGGCATTCCCTGCATTTCATCCACACCAGAGATGCCCTGAGCTACCTTCTGTCAGTGCTCACTCTGCACTTTCCTCCAGGTAACTTTCAGCAGCCATTCATGCTGCTCCTCAAACCCCAGTGGGACTTGTTTGGGATGCAGACAGAGTTCTGGCCACCAACCAAACCCGTGGCTGCACCTTTGGAAATTGGAGAGCCAGCTGTGCTCACGCAAAAGCAGCACAAATCCAAGATGCCAGGTGAGCTGGCACATGTGGAAGACTGAGGAAGAACCCCCTGGCTGGTCTGCCTCAGGTTACAGATCCACCTAAGCCAGCAGGCTCCTCTGCCAGTGGCCAAAAGCAGAGGCTGCAGGGAGGTGTAAGAACAGAGGGAATGTATACCTGTGTAAATTCACTTATTGCTCTGGAAGGTGTAACCATCCTCTTTAACTTCTTTCCCAAGGTGGGAAGCAGCACTTAAAAATAGTTCTAAAAATGTGAAATCACTGGTGTTAAAATCATTATTAATAAACTACTTCTCCCTCTGAGGATTTCATGATCACAGTACCACTGCCATTATTTTCCAGTAGATTAGACAGTATGGTTCCATGCTAACATTTATTTTGAAAATACTAATCTGTAATTATTTTTTATTTATTAATCTTTATCTTTATTTTGAAACTATTGGTTTGCATTTTCATTCAAAATACATTTCCTTTAAAAATAATTATCTTTCTACCTTCTGATTGACTTCTAGTGGTCACATTCTGTCACAGTCCTGTCAGATCCTCTAAAACAAAACCTCTTCAAACAGAAGGAACAGCTACATCTGTTTTAAACTTTGTCCATAATTGCTTGCCCAAATCTGGAATTTTTACCAGTAATACTTGGATACAAAGGGGCTTTTTTTTTGGTCTGGTTTCCCAGAAGTGAGTATCACATTTTCTTTTCTGTTCAGTGCTGTCCTTACACACCTGTAGGTACAGACACCATAGCTCGTAGTTGGCATCCAGAACACAAACCTCCAGTGCTTGGGATAGATGAACAACTCTGCCAGGAGCAAGCAGAGGAAATGTTTAGCACTCCCAAGGGAGAAGTATGGTAGTGTGCATTACAGGGTCAGTTGAAAAATGTCCTTTTCAAATTATTAAGGCCTTTTTGAGTTCCAGACTTGGGAATTACACAGGATTCCTGTGATACTGAGGGGAGAATTTTTAAAAATTCTATCTACAATATGGTTTATTCTCAAGAAGTGCAGTTGGTGACCACTGAAAATGGTCACATTATCAGGAGAGAAGGTTCATGCAGTTGTGTGACTACAGGCACAAATTTGGTACATGAATGTACAAGTTGCCTTTTAGGTGTGTAATTCACGTAGGCAACTGTGTACTTTGGGACATGAGTCATGGCACTTACTCATGTCTTTTTATATACCTACCTCATGCCTCTTCCTTATATTGTAGCCTTGTTTTAGGGTGTTAGCCTTAGCAGATATGAATAAACATTAAAGAGAGTACTCATGTTCTAGGATTTGATTTCATTTTCAGCAGCATCTTTTCAGAACATTAAAATAATTTGCATAGTACAGTGATATCATCTTTTTGTGTCCATTTAAATGTGTTTTCTTACCTAAGTGGCACATTGAGCAAAACACATTGCACAGAATGCTGTGATATCATTGCCATTAAGTTCGAAGTCATTGTGTTACTGATCAACTTTTCCAATTAACCTGTTGTGTTTGTGCAAAGTCTGTATCACATGCTTTTGTGAGGCACAATTTAATTTTAATTTCCTATAAGCAAATTTAAAACCACTGTGTAAGCCAATTTTTTACATTGCCTTTATTAGTATACAAATATTATATTCCTTTAGTAGACTCAAACCGTGAAGCAGAATCGAGTTAATTGTTATTTTTTTTCCTTCAGTTAGTCCTGAATTTGCAGCATCAGTGATTTAAAACTTCAGGAACTAACTCCTGTGTTTACTGTGTGTTCTGTAGTCGCTTTTTTCATCATAATATTCAAGTATTTTGGGATTAAGTTGGAAAAAAGAGCTTGTTGTGGGAATGTTGTCTCTTTGTAATGCTTACAAATCAAAACCAACGTGAAGCTTCATGGAAACCTTTGGTCCAGCCATACCTTCTCCTTGTTAACATTGGGTTTTTTCCTTGCCCTGAGAGCGTGGTACGTGGCAGCAGCGAAATGTCAGTTCCAGGGGGAGTTCTGACATTGAGCCTCGTGGCACGGCTGAAGGAGCAATGCTCTGCCACTGACATTTCATTCCTGCCACGGATTGCAACCAGAGCTTCCTCGTGCAAGGCAGGTTCACATTAAGCACAGGCTCACCCCCTGTGCCAAATTCATCCTAGATCTTAATCCATTGACTTGACTGCAGCTGAATGTAAGAGAAGTTTGGCTCTAGACTTTGAGCCCTAAAACAGAGAAATGCTTTCATTTGGCAGCTAGGAAGAAAAATCTTAATTAATCTTGCAGGATTTCAGAGTTTCTAAAATTCTGTGATTAGTTGCAGGTCTGGCCTCCTCAAACAAAGCAGCATAAAATGCAACTTTTAAGCTTTGTATGCCTATGTTAAAGAATGTTTTCATGGAAACCTTATGACATACAGCCTGTTTTTAGAACATTAAATCCTCATGACACTTCCAGGATAGCTGTGTATGCCAAACCATGCAATGTGATTCATCAGTAAAATTAACCTAGGAGTGATGTGCCAAACAGTTTGGAAAAATGTAGACACCTCCGAACTTGAGGGATAAAGGAGTGACTCTCCCAGAGGGGAGTAAATGTCACACCTAGCATTACTCATACAGAAGCAGAGCTGTAGAAGGGAGCGTGAGCAGGAGGTCATCGAGCACTTTGGAAATACACTACACCTTTCTCTCAAAGGCTTGTTTCTAACCCAGGACAGTCAGACTAAAGCAGTCAGCAGTAGCAGAGCTCTTCAATTGCCAGCTGGGGTTTGAGGCACACATCCTGTGCTTTGTCACAGTCTTTGTCACTTGTGTGACAAAAGACGCTGCATTCATGATGATACTGAGAAATGGCTAATTTCTCACACAAATTTCTAGATGGGTTGGCCAAATGAGCTTCCTCTGAATTGTGGGTTTGTTAAATTAAAGCTGAGTTACCTTAAAAAACAATCGGGCAGGTCTTTCTGTATTCAGCCAAGAGGACTTGGCTTTCCATATCCTGGTGCTTCAGATGAGTTCCCCCTTTCTTCTCTTGCTCCACCATCCAGTTTTCTTTCCCTCAGTGAGCCCTCATGCAGCACACCTGTAATGCTTTATCATTCCCATGGTTTGGTGATTTGATAAATAATCAAAATAGTTTTTTGACCCTGATCCATCATGAATGTCATTTAAACCATCTTTTACATCAATTTGGTTTGGTACTATCTTGCTTTCAAATGTGATATCTGCCCCTCATATCTTCCAGTCCTTTCTATCCCTGTGATCAGCTTCTTTCTAAATATCCTGTCTCTAATTTCTGTCTTATAATCCCCATTACATCAGACTGCTCCTAGTGTTGACTGATTAACTCCATTACAGAGCTTGCTGAATCCTGTTCTTGTTTCACAATGCTCTGGGTTCCCACAGTACCACTTCCACTTAGTAATTGTGTCTAATATGTGCATTATAAGTCACTTGGGATGCCTTTCTGTGCTTAAGAAGCCCATTTTAAGTCAAAGGTCATTAAGCTTGGTTTCATCAGTTGCTACCTTGCCTGTCGGTCCTTTCCTGGGACTGCTGATTTTTTTTATTCCTTTTACCTATTAAAATTATTAAAATCTATTAAAATCCTTCTGTCCTTGCCCATCTCCACAGACACTGAACTAACTCACCATAAAGCTTGAAAAACTCTTGCCGTCCAAGCAAGACATTTGGTCTGAGCACAGTTCTGCTCACAGTTCCACAGCTATGGCCAACAAGATGCTTCCTTCACTCTTTTGGAAGCTTTGCACAGCAGATCAAAGATAAGCACCATTTTTAGGGAAAAAGTGCTGCATTCTCCTGATCCCCATGATTAATGGTACACAAACCCCAAAGTCCATTCTGTTTTCTGATTTCCTAGTGCTGTAGCAGTGACTAACAAGGCCATGATCACTGGAAGCATGTGAATATTTATCACTCAGTCAAGTGACAATTTTTACTCCCTCTCTTAGTGTTTCTTCTGCACATTGAAAGAATTTTGGATGAACATGACAAAGTTTTGTTAATAAATAATTATGATCAGGAAACTGTTCAAGGAGCCAGCATTCCCAGCTTTCTCCTTAATAGACATACACACACAAACACAAGGGAGAGTTTAGAGTTCCCCCCTTGTTACTTATCTTTTATTTTTTAGTTTAAATTGTGAAACTGAAAGCTGAGCCTGATATTTCTCTTGAGGTTTAACTGCTTGGGACTAACTTTCCCTAGGGAACTTCTTTCTCCCTGTCCCTAATTTCCTAATCTGATGAATTGTGCAGAAGTGTAGTAGCTCCTGTACTGAATGGCATTCACGTAGCTTATTTAATTAATCAAAATTACCAAAATCAAATGTTGAAATAGAAATTTCAATTAAAAAGCTTCCAATTTTTTTGGGCAAAAATAGACCCAAGTTATATCCATTCCTGTGGCATCGAGTGGCTCCTGAATTGGGTACACCAGCATTTTGGTCATCCCTGGATACCTCCAGGATGAGCCCTCGTTCCCGGCTTCTCCTCTCTGCCCTTGCGAGGCTTTGGTGACTTTGTAGTGTCAGCTTCTAATTCTGGTGATTGTTAAACACCTAAACTTGGATGACACAAACACCTTGTCACTTTTATGTATGTCAACAGCACCAACATGACTGCTGGTGTAAGGAGAGTGTTGTGGCCTTCTGGAGAAACACCAAAATTGAACATTGTGTGTTGGAGTACAGTCTGTGAACAAGCCATCCAGTGTTCTGAATACGAAGAAAGCCAGATTGAGTTTGTGTACAGGTCCAGATATGTAAAAGAAGATGATTTCACTTGTTGCCTTTGCATTATAAACTATGAATGATGAAAGGTGGAAAAGTAATTTCTCTCTTCCAGGGATCCTACTGACGTTTTTATTATCCAAAGGATTTATCAAGAGAAATAAGCAAGAGAAGTGTTCAGACAGTGAATATCTTAGGGGATTATATTTCCTGCTTGTTTTCTGTTAAAAACCCCCTGAATTTCTGGCACTGTTTTCTCTTTTAGTCAGACTCCTCTACGAGTTTCAGGGCTGAACACAATACAACATTTTTAATGGCATAAGCTCCACCAAGGGAACGGCTCAAAAGTGTTAATTCAAGCAGTGGGTTTAGATTGAAGTAGAAATAATAGTAGAAATAGTAGAAATAATGTTCTTCCCAACCAAGGATTTCCCACCTGCACACACCTAGCATTACAGAAATACAAAATGACAAGTGTAGAATATGTTTACCTGACTTCAGGTGCTGGGATTCCTACCACAATGCAGTCCAATTGCACTTTGGATCCTTCAGGAACCTCCCTGCTCTTCAGTTTCTGAGTAAAGCGTGGTGGTTGTCCAAGGGGCTCATCAGAATATACAGATGCAGATTCTGACTCTGTTTTCAGCTCTGCGCTTGTTAATTGAGCGATGGATTCCAGGTTTGCGGCCCGTTGATCATCTGTTTGTTCAAAAGTTTTCTCTGCTTTGTTTTCCAAGTCTTGAGGTGTTGGAATGGAAAGCCTTTCTCTGTTTTCTGACGTGAGAGACAGGCTGGAGCTACCTTTTTGAGCAGACTTGTTCTTAGAATCGATTTTGCTCTTGTAGTTTTTGCATGTTCGGGGTCGTATTCTTTCAGAGTTGTGAGCTTTGAAAAGCGACGAGAGCTCCTCAATGAAATCTGCTGCCTTGTTCAGGAATTCCTTTTTGGATTCTGACTCAGAAGGGAGGTGGTGTTTCTTTAGATCTTGAGAGCTCCCTTTGGACCCCCTTGTATTTCTGACATGTTCCTGACAGAAGTTGGAGTGCAGGCCATTGTCTGATGTTTTCAAAGCTGTAGACTGGGCCATTTGTTTGTGTTTTCCCGCGTTGTTCAGCTGATCTGGGGGGCGCTGCGAATGTGCCTGAAGCTCATCCTGTTTAGTTTCCAGTGGATTCTGATCAATAGCTTGTCTTGCCAGGTTTACACTTTCATCAAGCTCTTCTTGGCTCAAAAAGGCTGAGAGATCTGGGAGGTCATCTTGGGCAGCTACCTCATCTGAATCACCAGAAGCATTGCCATAGTGGAAATTATGAGAAACTGGCTCTGATCTGCTCCTTTCACTCTTCCCTTGATGCTTAGTTTCTGCTAAATAACTCTCTCTCAGAAGCTGAGATATTGAAGTTGAGGTTTCTAAACTGTCGTCTTGCATGCTGCCAACAGAAAGGACAAATAGGACCACGCCTTATCAATAGCAATTTTTTGGATTGAACACAATGACAGGCTTCTGAAAAGCAGAACACAACATTTTCAAACTGCATCTGTGTGCTGAATACTTGCAAGTACTTGTAATATTTGAAGCATAAGGATGGCCGTGTGTTAAAGGCCTGCTTCTGCACATCCTGCCAGACACTGTTGCTTTTACCCAGTGAAGTTCATCTTCCATCACTTTCTGCTGTCAGTAGCCTCACATAAATTAAGTGTGGTATTTCCTACTCTGTGCAAGGCAAAACTTCAGCTACAGAGCTATTAACTGAGTTTGAATGTCAAGTCTTCATCATTGCTGATGTGTGTTTCTTAGCTAAGAAACAATCTCATGGGATAGATTAATTATTGGCTATTTCAGGGACTGAAAGTTGTTGAGAATAACAGTACTTTAAAGTGAAGTAAATTTAGCTTGAAAGCACTGAAGTAGTAAGTAAATGAACCCTCAAAATCGTAAGAGGGATGTGAGGAGGAAGGAGAAAGAACTAAAATATTCTATAATGACAATTTTTAATGCATTATAGGAAGCTATAATGGTGCTCCTTAGCTTCCTAAATCCAGTATTATTTCTAATAAGCTGTTTAAAGTAAGTAGAGAACTATGTCATTATTTATTTAAAGTAAGTAGAGAACTATGTCATTATTTGATGGAAACATAATTTGTACTACAGAGCTTTCAGAATCATGTTCTTAGGTCATCCTGATTCTGAAAAACTGTACCACAAGAGATGAGAGCATCAGGAAGCCCTTACTTGACCTGCACACCTGATCAGCAAAGCTAAAGCATCCCTTTTGGTACCTGTAATAGGAAGACAAATATCTGCTCTTTACCCCGTTCAGAGAGCTGATTCCTCACAGATACTGAAACAAGAGCGTGGCTGTTTACTGGATCTGTCTCTCAGATTGTGCAGTGCTCATTATCTCCCTCCTCCTTCATTTATGGTGTGGCAAATCCTGCTGCAGTTTCAGGTATTTCTGCCCTCACACTGGTTTATCACACTGTAGAGGGTTCTGCTCCTGTCGTGGCATCGAGAGAACATCCATGCCCTGGCGTTGGCCATCTCCATTCACAGCCTTGTGCAACAGCTGAAGTTACCAGGGACAGAGAAATTAAAAAGGTGTCTCTGCTTTGAAAGGCTTTGGGATTTTCTAGTGGGACAATTGTCCCTGGAAAAGGGCTGGTTAAGAACAAATGAAGTGGTAATGTCTCATATTGCAGTATTTCTCCCTGGAGTGTGAGTGCCAGCCCTCGTTCTTTATTTACAAAAAGGAAGGTTTCAACTTAAGCTGTTTATATTCTTCTTCAATGAATGAACATAGAGCTATCATAATCAGATGTGCATTTTGAGACCTTAATCCCTCTGCTTGAGGCACATTTTTTATACTGAAATCCTTTTCCTTATGTAAATTTTGGGCATTTTAGATTTGTTGCTTTTATTTTCATAATATGGGACAAAGAAAATCACTAAGACTACAGAGGCACCCAATCAAAATATTTCTAAATTTGTACCTGTACAAAGAATGAGGAATAAAATGCCATATTTAATATATTTTGAATATAAACTGTAGGCTTTTAAGCACCCTGTCCAGTCCCTGCAGCTGAGCCAGGGTCTGTGATACTAATTGAACACTTGGAATTAAATTATCTGTGGCACATAGAGAACATTGATTTGGGAAGACCACACGAGATAATATCATGAGCTGTTTCATGACTGGACAGAGTTTATAATTTAACCTCTTAAGAGTACAAAGAGGCCTCCGTGAGGTTTAAGGTTCCTGCTCAGTGGAAACTGCTTTTGCTTGCTCAGCTTTCACTCCTTGGGCAGCTGTGCCACCTCAGTGCAGCTGAACGTGTTTCAGGGCCTCTCTCAGCTTGTTTATGTGCTGATCACAGATTATGTGCTGGAAAGGTCACAGCTAAAGCTAGTTTCAGCTCCCAAGAGTTTAAATACATTTAACATAAGGAGTTTACAGCCTGGAAGACAGACCTGTCCCATGAATGAACTGCAGCCCTAGAACCTCTCCACATGTGGCTCTGGCTGAATTAGAACATCCAGCTCTTTGTAGCTTTACAGGACACAGTGGAAGGCTGTATTTTATGTGTCTAGAGAAGTATGGATTTTACAAGGTGGCAAAATTGAGCTTGCTGCATTTCTTGGCCACTCTTTCTGCAGCATTTCAGAATGTCACATCTTCATCTCAGTGTCTGGAAAGATCATCAGAGCTGAAAAAAGGTGATGCAGATCTTTAGAGAACAACACATGCTCCAAGTAGGGAAGGAATATTGTGTGATCAAAACCTGAAGTCAAATGAACTTGAAGAACTCCTGGAATGTTTTTGTCTAAAGAGTATATGAAAATTATATTGAGACTATTCAGGGTTTCATTTTCCTCTGTTGCTGTGTCTGTTTCAACAGAGGTTGTTAATCACAGTGTAGCTTTTCTGCAGGAAACCATAGTAAAGCAACTGTGTGTTCAGTCTGGTTATTTGAGACTTTGTTCTTGCATGTCTTCTATTCATCTTTTGATGAATTGAAAGCATTGAAACATTAAAGAAATAATTTCTGCTAATTTGCTGAGGGAGTATTGCAGCAACATCAGGAGCTACTCTCAAAGATCTGTTTAGGCAAAATAGTTTTGTAATTCTAGCTTGAAAAATCCTAGTGAGGAAACCATTGTCTGATAGCAAAGGGAGGAAAACAAACAGTTCCCCAGCTAAGAACCTGGAACAACTTCCTTCCTTCTGCCCACTGGAGCAGAAGAGGTAGAAGGGAGCAGAGTTCTTCTAGAATTGGAAAACAAGATATTAATGAGAACAAATCTGATGCCAAATTCTCAATACTCAAAGGGCCACTCACTTTTCTTTAGAGCTCACCCAGGGTCAGAATTTTAAATTGAACTCTTCTCTATTTTCAGCTTGTAGAAGATGACTTTTTATTCTATTTTTAGGAATGAAGTAGTTGGGTTCTAGTCAAATGTAGCACTTTAAGGCAGCGATTGTCTACCGAAGTCTTAAAATATTTTGAATTATTTGATATTTTTAATTTAATGGAAAATGTTAAGTTTCAGTGGGTGTTGCTGTGAGGCTACCAAGCAATCCCATTACAGTTATTATTTCTGCCTTGCTTTTGCCTTGAGAAATGCCCAGTTTGTTGTGTTGGGGTTTTTTTCCCCCCAAAGAACTGTGCTAATTGTAATTGCAGATATCTCTGCTGAGCAGATAAGTGCAGATAACTGTGTTGAGCAGGCAGTAAGAAGAACAAACCAGTCAAAACACAGTAGACAGCAATCTGTGGTGGCAGTGAAAGCACCAATCATTTTGCTGACTGGAAAAGCATTGTGATGAAGCTGTATCAAGGGCAGGACTTGCATTGCTGGTTACAGGTAATGTCTTTAATTGCTGTTCTTTGGGGGGGAAATGGGGCCAGCAGCAGCCTGTGGGTCTCTATTCTTCACTGGCTCATTACCTACAGCCCCAAACCACAGTGTGAGGGCAGCATTTTTGGCTTTCCTGGGACACCAGCTGCACTGACCTTGGGCACCTGCTGTCTTGAAAGGCACCAGAGCATGGCACGAACAAAACTGACTCCATGAATTTCTTCACTCTGCTAATTCAGTTTCTATTAGGCAACTAATTGAACAAGCTTTGAGTTTCCAAGAGCCTATAGTTATGGCAATGTTCTCTTATTAGCCAAGTGATCTTTAGGATTAAATATTCACAAAGGTAGAATTGGTTTCCACAGTTTGTTTTGGCAGTGGCTTGACCTGAAAATCTTTACATGGAAGGGAGGAAATATGTGCCACAAGGGTCTTGCAGAGTGTGACTCCAAACACTTGAATTTCTTCTTGTCTGAGTTTTCTTAGACTCATTCCTGAGTCACCACTGAAGGAATCTGAGCTTTTCCTACAGAAACAGCACCAGTGAAATCTCAGCAAGCTTAAAGGAATCCCAGATATACCTGATGTATCTCTGTTTTATTTGGTGAGAACAGCTTCTAATGCATGATGCACTAAAGATAATTTTTCAAATTCTCCTTCTGTGACAGAATAAACAGGTTATATACAATTAGCAGATTTAATGCAAGAAGCACTGGAACATCTGCTTTGGCTTTCAAAAGTCAAAAGGAGAAATTTCAGTCAGTGCATGTTGTTCCTGTCTCAGCTTTTCAAGCTCCATTACTTGTGTTGGGAGTGCTTTTGTGTGCAACCCCAGCCAAGCAAACTGCTGCTTCTGCTCTGCAGAGAGGCACCTTTGTGGGTTTTACACAGCAACACTCTGCATGCCCAGCACCTCAGTGTGGAAACCAGAAAAATTAGCAAATACTAGCGGCCATATCTGCTTCATGATTAATTTAATTGCACATAAATTGCATTTACCCACGGCGAGTTTAACATTTATGGGGCTGTTCCAACTGTATGAAGAAGAAGGCAAGGGTTGACACATCTGCCTTGCAGACAGTGGATGATCACAGTGGCATTCTGGTGTGCCTGCAGGAATTCTCACTTAGCAGATGCCATTGTCACCGATTCTGGTGACAATGTTGACAAGCTGTGGCTGCTGCAAGACAGCTCTGAGCCTCCAGACACAGGAAGGGTTAGGCTGGGGTAGAGGACTTAGGTTAGCACCTCTGTGTGCTTGGGGGCGTGTGTTTGAGAGATCTTTAAAACAGTGTTTAGAAAACTGTGTGCAGGAGGGTGGTTTACTTTTCTGTTTTAGACACTTGAGTGGCTTTGATTTCCATTCCCTGTAATGAGTCAGATAACTGAACTCCCAGTTCCAAGTAATGTAATTAAATATGGAAAATGGATAATCTCCAGGCTCAGGAGTGTAACAACTTCTCATGGAAACAAAATCCCTCAGAAATGGGATGGGATAAATCCTCTCCCCAAGTTACTCTGTGGCAGACTCTGCAAGAGCCCTGTGTGCACTTGGAGTCGTGCCCTGGCCCATGACCTCACTGTTACAGTATTGGGCACCCTGAGCAGGAGGAAATACCCAACTCTGTTTCAAGGGAAAAGCACATTAAGTGCCCTCTAACTTTTTCAACATTTCTTTTATACTCTCATATAATGAAAAGGCCTTTTATTTTTCACTCTGATCACAAAAAGTCTTCCTTATTTCATTAATTAATACTGTCCCTCAACAATTCTCAAAATGAGAACTGAGACCCTTTATCCCATGTCTCAAGTTCCCTTTTCCTCCTCAGTGAATCTCCATGAACTGCAAGGCAAACAGTATCTTGAAGAAACATCTCAATGAAACAAATACATTTTCAGCTGATTTTTAAATTAGAAATTGAGAAAGGAGGACAGGTGATGGCTCTTTTGAGGCCTGCCTGGGATGCTTCTGCATCCTCCTCTCCCGCTGACCTGCAGCCAGGCCTCAGATATCAGGACAAGTTCTGAGTGTACTTCAAGTGCTCACAGTGTAGAACAAGTTTTTATTGATTTAAGTAATGTATACAACCCTCTTTCCTTCAAGGATTGCCCATAGGAGAAAAGTTTATATGAAAAGCCAAAACAGTTGCAGCAGGGATGCACAATTTGGTGCTGAATGTACATAGGGAATTCCTCAATGAAAATATAACTAACAGGCACCAATATTCATTTATCCTGGTTCAAACACAGACACAGCACCCTGCACACCTTTTCTCATGGTTAAAACTGCAAATCCATTTTCATGGGTTGTGAGCCAAATGATTTCAGTCATTTCTGTGAGTCCTGCTGGCAGGATGTGGGAGCAGTGCAGCTCCTCAGCTTTTTCAGTTGTGCCTTTCTTTTTGTCCACTGTTCTGTCTTTTTGATGTTTTTTCAACAGTCTCTAACAACATTGTAACATAAAAGCCTTTGTATTTTAATCATATTTTCAAACTGCAATGTTTAGATGAGATTTCTATTCTACAGGAATAATTTTCCTGTCCAATATTCCTGTTTATGAAAGCAAGCACTAACCCAGTTAAGTTTTAAACAGAAAAGTAAAATGGTTTCTTGTTTTTCTTTCCCCCCACCCCATGGTTTAGATTACAATTGAGGTTGCCAATTGCCTTTATGGTATTGTGTACATTTAAAAAAAAAAAAATCTTAATGTAATATCTATGTGCAAACATGCCTAGACTACTAATTGTTATCAGCTGTTGATAAGAAAGGATTCCTTCAGTACCACAGCAAGACCTGCTGTAAAATCTCTAAAGAATGCACAGGAATAAAAACCAGCACAGAGCACACAGTTCCCCTTTGTGCTTGATACACTCTGCCATGTACAAGACCTAACTCCAGAATTGACTATAATTTTTTTTTTATATGTAAATATTACTCTGCTCAGCTACAGGAATGACCACACTTGCTATTGCTGTTTAATTTTGTTAGCTGTTTCTGAAAGTTAAAAAACAAACAAATTAAAGACAGACAAAACCAGAGAGATATCCTGACCTTAGGAACCTTCAGGTGGTGTAGGAGAGGGAAAAGAGCAGAGTTGAGGTTTATGAAATTGTTCCATTAAAACTTGCTGGTTTTGTTTTCACTCTTAAACTCTAGAGCATCTTCACAAATGTAAACCCAATGACCAAAACAAAACTGCTGATAAAGTAATCAGTGTCTTTAGCACGATCTGTGTAATGTTCTAGTAACATATGCTCAGGAACCTCTCTGTTCTCTGTCAATTGTTGATGTATTATTTGGTAAAACTTAACATGAGCTTCTGATTACTGCTTAATGTTGCAATATATTGGGCCAAACATTTGCTACTGACAGTCAAATACTTTTCTGAGAGAGAGAAAGAGAGCAGAGGAGATAGTGAGAGCTCAAGGGTGAGAGCTATGCCCTTCTAGCAGGACTGTTTCTGCAGCTGTTGTGTACATTAATCCAGAGAGCAGATCTCCCTGCACTAAATATAGCCACAGGGGTCATTTTACATGACAGAATAAATAATTAAATAAATAGAAAGCATTTAACTATGGGGGGGGTCACATTAAATTAGGTTTGATTTTGCTTAAGAAGGAATTCCATATTACGGCATCTTGGTTTAAGGCTGAATACAAGAATGGAAATATTTCACTCCTCCATTATTTCATGAAGGGAAGATGAGCAGGAAGAGGGAAGTATCCCAGCAAGGAACTTTTCAGGTCATTAGAATCTTGTTGACTCTTTAGAGGAGTCAGAGTGGCTCTGAGGGATTTTGAGAACCCCACCAATGCCATTCAGGTCCTTTATAATTCCACAGAACACCTTTTCTCTTTCACTGCAATGCACGTACCTCAGCACAATCTAAGTCAGTTTAAAAGGTATCTGTTCCCTGTATACGCCTTAGCAGCTAAAATTAGCATTCAAATATATATCTTATCAAACCCTTCTGCTACACTCTGCAAAACCAAAACGTAGACCAATCTGAAATTGAGGGATTACCTTTTTTTAATTCCTCCAGCTGCTGCTGCTGCCCAGCCCTGGCAGTGAGTAGCGCTGACAGTTATCCAGAAGTGTGAGATTAAAGTTAAGGAAGCGAGGGGATCCTCCGAGTCCTCAGGAACAGAAACAGCTAGGAGGAGTCCATAAAGAGTGAAGGAAGTTAACCTTGGTTATTGTGAGGATGGCTGGAAGGAGCTGGACAACCTGTCACCACCGGAGCAATAGCATTTGTCAGTTTGCAGGTCCCAAGTTATTTTGAGCAGCGTAAACCATGTGCCCGCGGAGCATTCCACCTCATTGGACAGGGAATCCGCTGCTCCCACAGCACCTATGGGCACAAGTGCCTGCTCCTGGCTCGTGCAACAGCCCCTATAGATGCATATGTGGGTTTTGCTGATTCATCCAAGAGGCTCTGTGGTGGCATTGTATCACTCTTGGCAGCTGCTTTAGGCTTCAGCCTTTTCAAATTACTAGTGATCGCTCTTTCGTTAAGTTTCCATCAGAACTCCAAGGTTACGGTCGCAGGGAAAACCATCAGCTGGGAACAGCATAAAAGTTTTGCAGCTCTGAAGGCAAACTCTGCAAATGTGTGATTTAAATAGTAAAATATTCCTGACTTCATCAGAGTGTTCTGTTTAATAAACAGAGTGAAACAGTGTGGAAATCCTTCAGGATGACCCGAAAATACAGATGCTCAAAAAGCTAGAACATCTAAATTTGTTATGGAATGCACAGAAATGAACTGTTGGAGGAAAAGCAATTAAAAGAGGCAATCAAAACTAAGCAGTAAATAAAACTGAGAGAGAAACACAGGTGGAATAACTTTGACACACTTGAACCAGTACACAGAGAAACCCTGTTACTATATAGAATTTCATTGCTTTAAACCTTGACTGGCTAAAACCTGCCACATCACTTGGTAAAGACAGAGATGAAAATTTTCATTTCTACTCTTCCTACACAAAAAGCGGTCTGTCATTTTAAACATTTTGTCACCCTGCTGGATTGTTGATATTTTATTAAAAATGCTTGTCACAATTCTGATTTTAAAAGATTATTAAAATATTATGAATTTATGATGGGGAATTGATATATAAGTCTTTTCATAGCTAATGATGTAAGAGCTGGCTTCTTGACCTTCTCCCAGGACTCTCAGAACATTATCAAGCGAGCACGCATGCTAGAAAAGGTGTTCATCTGTGGAATGGAGCTCTTCAGAAAGTTATTCTATGAGTCATAACAGTATGAGAAGTCAGAGAGGAAGGCAATTCTTGCATGTAAAATTTCCTGAAACATTGCAGATACTTTTCTATTATTTCTCTCTCTTTTTGTAAACTACTGTCGTGGTTTAACCCCAGCTGGTAACAAAGCCCCACTCAGCTGCTCACTCCTAACTGCTGGTGGGATGGGGGAGAGAATCAGAAGAAAGTGAGGAAGCTTACAGACTCAGATAAAGGCAGTTTAATAAATAAAATAGAAGTTGTGCACACAAGCCGATAAAAGCAAGGGTTTCACATAGAATCATAGAGTAAGCTGAGTTGGAAGGGATCCTTAAAGATCATCAAGTCCAGCTCCTGGTCCTGCACAGGACACACTTCCCCAAGAGTGCCTGAGAGCATTGTCCAAACGCTTCTTGAGGTCTGTCAGGCTTGGGGCTCTGGCCACTCCCCTGGGGATCCTGTTCCAGTCCCCAGCCACCTTCTGCGTCAAGAGCCTTTTTCTAAAACTCATCCTAAACTTCCCCTGGCACAGCTTCAGGCTGTTTGTCTGGGTCCTGTCACTGGTCACCACAGAGGAGAGATGGTTGCCCTGTGCCAGCTTCAGAATCCAACACTTTCCCCTGGTGAACTTCATATGTTTGATGATTACCCAGTCCTCCAATCTGTCGAGGTCTCTCTGCAAGGCCTCCCTGCCTCCAGCAGAGTCAGCAGCTCCTCCCAGCTTTGGATCATCTGTAAATTTGCTCGGTATCCCTTCCAGTCCTTCATCCAAGTCATTTATGAAGATGTTGAAGAACACAGGGCTGAGGATGGAGCCCCACTTGTGACAGGTCACCAGTCTGATGTCTGTCAGTGACCCCACTGACTGTCACCCTTTGTACCTGACCCGTGAGCCGGTTGTTCTCCCATCCCATAACGTGTTTGTGGGATGGACATTTTGTCCAGAAGGATCCTGGGAGAGACAGCATCAAAATTTCAGATTTACTGCAATGCAGAAAGATGGCATCAACAGGCTTCCCTTGACCAGCTTGGTGGGCTACCTTGTCATAAAAGGTTTGATAAGCAGGACTTCTCTCTCACAAAGCTGTGCTGGCTGTGACCAACAACTGCATTCTTTCAGGTGTTTTTCAATGCCTCCCAGAATAATCTTCTCCATAGCACTGCCAGGCACTGACAGCTTTCGTTTCCAGGGTCCTCTTTCTCTCCCTTCTTGAAAACTGGGACAACATTTGCCAGCTTCCAGTTAGCTGGGATTCCCAGCATTGCTCAAAAATCACAGTGTGATGACATCATCTGTTCTTTGTGGATTCTTGGATGAATCCAGTCAGGCCCCATGGATTTGTAGGGATCCAACTGGAGCAGCAGATCCTCCACAGTTTCAGGGTCAGCTGGGAATTGAGCATTCTCTCAGCCATGGTCCTCCAGCTCAAGGCACTGAGACCCCCTTGGTCCATCACCCGTGTTGCAAAGAATGTGTTAAACAGCTCTGCCTTGTCCATGTCCCTGTTTGTGAGGTGACCATCCTCATCCTGGAACGGGCTGGTGTTATTTCTACACTGCCTCTTGTCATTATTCTATTTGAAAAAACTCCTTTTCATTGTCTCCTACAGTTCTGTCAGCTTCAACTCTAGTTGAGCTTTGGCCTTGTGAATTTTACCCCTACAGTGGCAAGCAACATATCTGTATTCTTCCCGTGTCTCCTGGCCTTGCTTCCACTGGACATGCACCTTCCTGTTTTGCCTTATTTCCAGGAGATGATTCCTGTTCTGCCTCACCAGCCTGACTTCCAGCATTTGGGAGTCACTGTGCACTTGGGAGGTGATCTTTAAAAACCATGACCAGCACTGATGGACCCCAGCACCTGCAAAAATATATTCCCAGGGGACCTTGCTGACTAATTCCCTGAACTGCCTGAAGTCTGCTCTCCTCGTGCCTAGGGTTGAAATTCTGCTGGCACTTTTCCTCCTGTCAACACAGATTTTAAACTCAATCACTTCATGGTTACTGTGGCCAAGACAGCCCCAATCCCCTCTTTGTTCACAAGATCCTCTCTGTTGACAAGCAGCAGGTCAATGAGGGCATCTTTCCGAGTCGGCTTCCTCAGGACCTGTTCCATAAAGTTGTCATCCAGGATTTTTAGGAATTTTCTGGCGTGGGTTGTACCAGTTAATTTCTGGCGGAGATTAGAAATCCCCCATGAGGACACAAAGAGTTGACTTGGATGAGCTCAAAGGAAAATTTGTCAGTGTCATTGTCCTGCATAGGAGGTCGGTAGAAGGCTCCCACAATGACATCCCTGTTACTCGGTTTGCTCCTCGATTTTATCCAGAGGCTCTCAACTGTGTCCTTCCCACCTCTGAGCTCCATACATCCGAGCCCTTCTATTCCACACAGCGCCTCCCCTCTGCCTCTTCTGGCCTGCCTCTCCCACCTGAAGAGCCTGTGAGCATCCAACAGGGAATTCCAGGCACAGGACTCATCACTCCAGGTTTCACTCATGCAATGATGTCAGACTCCAGGACTGGGCCAAAGCCAGGAGCTGCTCTTGTTTGTCCCTGCTACTGTGTGCATTAGTCCAGAAACATTTGAGGTGTGGTACTTTGTATCCAGCACCTTGTGAGGCAGATTGAGGGATCTGTAAGCGATCATTTCGAGTTTTGGCACAGCATCCCATCCCTTGGCACTGGTGAGTCTGGTTATGTCCCTTTCCCTCTTCCAAGCTGGTTTAAAGCTCTGTCAATGAGCCTGCTAGCCCCTGTGCTGGAGCTCCTTTTCCACCCTGAAACTGGTGCACCCAGTCAGGTGTCAGAGCAGAGCAGCTGTTGAGTACATCTTCCCATGGTCAACAACCCCTACATTTTTCCACTGAGACCAACCTCAGAGCCATGCATTGGCCTGATGGATCTGCCTATTCCTATTTCATTCCCTACTTCCCATGGTTGGGCAGGTGTTCATCCATCCCCAGGAGAGCAGGGCCCATCCCATGTAATGGTGACATGGGAAGACAAAACTCCATGACTCTGAGTGTCCCTGGAATGTCCCTCTCCTCCCCTGGCTCTGTGTGCTGGGCACGGCCCCACAGGCTCTGGGACATCCCTTGGGTCACTTGGGCTCAGTGTCCTGGCTGTGTCCCCTCCCAGCCCCTCGCTGCTGGGCTGGGGCCAGGGCCAGAGGAACAAGACATCCCTGTGTCACCAGCACTGCTGCCTGCACACAGCCAGAGCACAGCTACCATGGGGAAAAATGTAACTCTAGCCCAGCAAAAACCAGCACCAACACCACTGACAGAATACCCCATGAGCACGAGCTTGTGGTGAATATATGGGAAGCTTGTGTAGTGAAGTCAGCCCTTCTTTTGGGCACAGGTGAGGCATTTTCTGGGTTGTGTTATGTCTGATGTAACTTTATACCTGAAACAGAGATCTAAGATATTCTTTATAGTATCTGTAACAGTAGATGTGAGCCATACAGTGCTGGCAGGAGCTGCCTGTTGATACTGTACCCCGTGCTGCTGTGGTTTGGACAGCGTCTGTAGATGTTTAGGCTACAAAATCTGCAGCCTGGAAACAAAGCCTGATGTACTAATTGTAAACCTACAAGGAGTTCTGCTGAGATGCAATTATTACCATGGAGTCTTGCTGTTTGTGTGCTGTTTGTGCATGATAAGCAACATTATTCAAGCTGATGAAAAAAAATGGAAAAATTTTCCACTTTAAGACAGAGTTTAAGGTTCTAGAATTGCAAAATCATTGAATAATCTGAGTGACAGATAAGCTCAGGGTTATGCAGAAAGTACAGCATTGAGAAACCACAAAAAGTTATGAGGCTTTACTGTGGCAGACAGACCATTGAAATAGCAGATGGTGTACAAGGCCAAAAATTTCAGGAACACAAAAAATTGGAGTATACACAGTGAATGTGCCAGGTCTTGCAGAGCTGGCATTTTGATAGAGCAGCACCAGAGAATTTCAGGTTCACTAGTTTGTAAGTAACAGTCTAAAGCCCATGAAAATACAGTGGCTCTTCTGTCTACATTTATAGAAAAAATTGAAATCAGCCTTTTGCCTGCTGAGCACTAAAAAAATCACTTCAAAATATGATGACCTCCAGCTTTATGTCCTTTTTGTCGTTGCTGGCTGGCAGAAGAATGAGGCATGGTGTCCTGGAATAAATTACATGAGCACTATTTCTCTCCAGATCTTGGCTGTCAAAGCCCAAACTACCTTCACAAGCTCAAACAAGACTCACAAGAAGCGAGTTTAAAATGGAACTTTGTACATGGCTGGTTGGCTGTTATTCCTCAGTAGGATTATCCGACTTTATTTGTCAACCTACGGATTTATCAGGAATGGGAAATTCTTGATTTTCTAGATATTAGGATGAAGTGAATACTATTCTACTAATGGCATGGGCTGAACCATGAAATGAGACATTCCATTTCTTTGAAAGCTTCCTCAAGGCCCTTTGCAGTCAAGTTCCAGTGATTTTGCAGATCTCTCCAGTGTAGGAATCCAGAAATGGAGAGACATTTCTCTGTCTGTCCTGTTCTCCAAAAAGACATTAATCTTGTCTATCACTGATAGAAAGGCTTCCAAATATCCCTGGGTAAACCAGGATTGATAAAAATTAAGTAGAAAGTAGTAGAATGTTTAGGATGTCACTGAAGTGAAAAATAGAGATTTTAGAGGGTTTAATAGATGGAGTAAAGATGGAGGGAAAAGGGTGTAAGTTCTTAGCTCTCCTTCTTCCTTCTTCTCCAGGATTCTGCAGTTTTTAGAAGCACAAAGAGTGATTGGTTGAAAGTCAGTGACAGTTTTAATTGTGTAAGTAGATATAGAAAACTCATTTGTTAATTTATAGAAACAATTCACCTGTCTATTGTTAATTGGGTAAAAATGGATGTAAAGATGAAACAGCCGCCTGGTTCAGGGCCATTTTGTGCCTTCAGAGCCAAAGTGAGGCAGGTTATGGTGAACTGAACTTGTGCAGAAAGTCTGGAGAGACCTGCCAAGTTCTGTGATAACATCCTAATAAACAGGAGAAACAAGATCCTGACGAGCTCTGGAGTTTTCTTCAGGCCCAGAGAACTGAGATAAACGGAGCTCCCATGGAGAAGGATCCCAAAGGAGCTCGGCTCAGAAGGGACCGAGAAATCCGTTTGGAGAAGTGCAACATCAAGCAGAGAAAAAGTAACATCCAGAGCCCTCTGGAGCAAGTTTTTGCTGCCCATTCCTGGTTTGCATCCCAGCAAGAGCTGATCCTGCTCTTCCCAAGGCTGATCAGATTTCTTTCTAACAGGTAGTGTGTAGCAGTGCATCAGCCAAGCTTGTTCTAATGGGCTGAAGGAGAACCTGCAGAAGAGAGGCTTACACTGTGACCATTCTGCTGGCCAGGTATGAATGTTGACTCTCAAAGTGGCCACTTTGCTTTTTGTTAGACTGTTCCAAGGGCAGTGAATTGCTCCTGACCTCTGCAGCTTTGGGCAAGAGCAGTGACGTCTTTTCTTGAAGCATCAGTGGCTGTTGCTGCTTTAATAGCTACAGTTAAAAGCTGGGTAATTTGAACAGCAGTGGCAAGCCCTGTTTCTCTTTTACAGACTTTAATGAATTATCTTCAGGCCCTTATGCCTTTGCTAAGAAAAGTGTTAATGGCAAACTTCTGGATGTTCCTGGAAAAGCTATTTCAAGTGATTTACAAACCTTGTGTAAGATGAGTTGGGTATTTTCTATTCATATCACTATGCAGCACATCTCTTACCATGAGTCTGCCAGGTATTGTGTAATCCTAATTTGTATTCTAATTTTAGAAGCAGAGACATATTAGAAGGATGATAGAAATGGTACCTCTTTTCTATAGAAAGTACAAATAATAATGTTAAAACATTCCTTGCACCCAGCCCAAACCAGACTTTATCACAGCTTCAATCCTCGCCTCATCTGAGGATTGCCCAAGTGTTGGCAGAGAATTTTTCAGTCTTATTTATTATTTAGATAAAATGTACTAGTGATTTATGGGGCCCTGATGCTGTTTCCAATAAAATCAGAGCTTGTTCAGTCACTATCATCAGTAGGAGAGGAGTCAGACTTTCCCAGAAAGTTTTAACTACAGTAATGAAAGCAATCTTCCAGTCATCCACACAGACCCACAACCTCTTGTACCCCAGCGTTCAATCTATTTGCTTTTCAAAATTATTCAGTTATATTATTATTCAAAATATACCAGTAGTTTGCTTTGTTGCAGTAGGCAAAGTACAGCTGAAAAATGTTATAAAGATAGATAATCCCCAGAATATGAAGTAATTGATGGTATGGGTGGCAATTGTAAAAGCTGATTTGTAAAATCCCTTTTCTTGTAAAAAGCTTCTACTCAATTGTAAAAGTGTTGGGTTCTTTAATGCAGATTCCCTGCCTAATAAAACATGGAGAACACCATGTCCTTATTTTAAATTATGGTATTTTTTTCTTGTCTTTTATTAGCCATTGTACAATATTATCTTACAAATATCAGCCTTTCAAAAACGCCTCTGACACTAAAGAGTTAGCAAAAAAGCATTCACAGGCATTTTGCTGTTCCTGTACAGTTAATATTTCATTAGCTTCTCCTACATTCTTCCTTTTCTAAGGGAAATTACATGTGGGGTTTTTTTTTAATGTTGGGATATCTAACCAACATTTTACAAGCTGCTAGGATTCAGATTTTCAAGTGGATAGTTTCTCTTTATGGTTCAAATAGAACACACATGAGCTCTCCCTGGGAAGGCTCACGTGGCTGAGGAGGATCTCCTGGCAGCTACCACCATGTCTGGGTGCAGTTTGGCTCACAGCAGCCTTCCTCCCGTGCTCAGCACCCTCACATCTCAATGACTGTAGAGCAAATACCAACACACAGAGACCGGCAGCTGCCCAAAAAGCAAAAGTTTGATGCAAGCTCTTATATCAGACTGGTTTTAAAAACTAATTTAGAAATTGAGATAAAACTAATGAGGACTCCTATCTATACAGTTCAATGTATTGGAGATTATGTCTGGTAATTGACAGAAGCACAAGATCAGAAAACAATGATTAAAACAACCCAGAAGCTGGGTTTGATTACTGAGTATGTGCTCCCCCATTCATGACTTTCTTTGGGCAAGTGAAGCAGGAGGAAGCTTGATTTGACACTGATGCCAAACAACCAGCTTGATTGAAAAGAGATTTACAGTCAGGGCTACTGCTCCCAGCATCACCAGAGACTGTGGGATCCATTTTCACACTATAGGATTTCACTGTCCTGATTGCAAGGCATGATTAGACCAAACAGAGCCTAGAAGGGATCTGATAATGCCAGTTCTGGTGTTGTCTTCACCTAATTTTGGACACTTCTTGGTGTGTGAGGTTTGCCTTCCTACTGTGACCCCTCTCCTTCCCTGTCTTCTTTTCCTTCATCTCTTTATTTCTTGTCTTTCATGTCTTTCCGTCTCTTGTTTTTGACAGGAACCTGGTGTAGCAGACAAGGCTAATTTTGTTGTGTTGTTTCAGGTCTCCAGCTGAGCCAGCCCCGGCTGGAACTGCCTCAGCCCGATGCTGCTACAGGTGAGCGACATATCAGTGGAGCTGACACACCAATGGATTTGTTTTCCTGGGATTCAGTGTCAGAGAGGGCTCTAAGCCAAACACAGGCCCATCCATTTCAATTTCCCATTCTTTAGAACATCCATCTCCAAAACATATAATAAGGATATTCATAGCCATAATTGATGCCAGCTGAACACGTTGTCAGAGTGGCTGGTACAAAGTGGCTGCTTAACTAAATCTAAAGGAAAAAGAAATACTGGAGTATTTCTACAGTGAAAGCCATATTATATACTTTATATTTTGATTATTTGGACTTCTTCTTGTGTTACTTGTAGGAAAGTTTAACTTTTTTCTGCTGGTAGCTATTTCTGTGGTTGATATTAAGTAGATATGACATCTGTGTCTGCCTTTGTTAACCCCTTACTGTTATCCAGAGACAGGAACATGGATGCTTTTGACTTGGGGATGAGATTAACACAACAACATGTTGTGAATTGTATTTTTAAAAGTGGACTAAGAGTCAGTCCAGGGAGGCATATTTTGTAACCACAGTCTCTATTTCCAATTACACATTTGTCAAACAGAGATTTACAGTTCACTCCTTATTCTTATCACTTAAATGGCTTCATACATCTAGAACAGAGAGCAGTATTTCAGCCAGGTTCCCTGCAAGTAAATTCCCAAACCCTGAAAGAACAGGGAACTCTCACTGAGAGTCTATTTTCAAGTGGTTTTAACATGAAAGAACAAAACAAAGTGTGGCTGTTATTTGTGGAAACCCAATTAATGTGAGTTGCATGGTAATGAGGAAAAGAAGCCCAAAGAATCTTGATTTCTGTCTGAACTAAGAGCATTATCTATAAAATATAGGTACCTTCAGTACCTTTTTTCTGCTTTGGAGTAGTGTCTTTCCAGTGTTGTTTGGTCTGTGTTAGAGGCCCTGAGGCTCACAGCAAATTAATCCCAGAGGGCCGGGCAGGTGGCAGGAGGAGGAGCTCAGCGTGTGGCAGTGTAGATCAGGACCCTGAGGATTTTAGATAACCCAAACCCAGAATGAATGGCTGGTGTTTTAAGCATCACCTGTTCTAGACAAGCAAAACTGTCTAGAAAACAAATACCAGCTCTGTCAGATGTTTAATAGGACCAAATATTCAATAACTCTGTTGTCGAAATTGTACCTCACAAGATACACCCCTAATAAGAATGTCTAAAATCATTGGTAGATGAAAATAAGGAGAGAACATTCATGGATTGTCTACATTTTAAAAATGATTTCTTGAGACCTTTTGCTTTCCAGGCACATTCAGATGAGAATTTCAGTGTTTATCAGTAGTGGCATGAGAATCAGCTCTTCTCTGGACCTGGGGTCATGGCGTCACCTCACACAGTCTGGAGAACAGCAACACCATTGTTCAGTGAGGAGAACTGGCTAGAGATAAGAGCTTGGTTAGGTGGATTGCATAGAAATGCGTGGTTTAGGCAGCAGGAGAGCATGGTCTGGGACCAGTTTGCTAAAATATGACAGAAGCAAACCCCATGGAAAGGAGAGCCTGTGTTTGTGTATTGCAGGTGCAACAGGATGAGCTGAGGGAAGGGGACACAGCTGGGCAAGCCAGGTTGGATCCACACCTCCAGGGAACCTCGCATCTCGACACACGGGGGCAGCAGAAAAGCGTGGCAGTCTTTGTGCCAAGAAATAAAAGTCAGGAATGGCCCGTGGTGTTCGGGAATCGAGCTGTGCCCTGCTGGGTGCTCTGTGCACAGCGACCTGACTGCACTGACAAGGGGAAAAGCCCTTGGCAGGAGTCCTAGGGCTTTGAAAATTTTCCTCCTTTAGTTTAAAATAGGATCATTTTGATATGAAACCATAGCTAGGATATCATCCCCAAACTCTGACCGCTGGAGTTGCTGTTTTCCCAGCACTTTAGTGTGTCACCTTACTGTGCACACTTGAGATGAGTTTATCCTGGCACTCCCTCCCTTCTGCTGCCTCATCTGTCTGGAACGCCTTCCCTCAGGCCACTGAGTCACCTTCCCACTTTCAATGTTGCATTGTAACACCAAACTGACTTGCGTTATAACATCAACTGTAAAAATGTGGATGACGATGCACTGCAGAATTTTATCTATAGGTAATGATGAAGCTTCAGAACACCAGGGGGTTTAAGGGTTACAGCTCTACTGATAGATTTAACAGGTTTAATTTTTAAAAAAAGGTCTTTCATGTCGAAACATGAGCAAAGCTTTCAGAAGCAACAGAGATGAGAATTAAAGGAAGTTGTTAGTACCAGCTTATGAAACACCATCATTATTAGAATCATTATCAGAATCAAATGGCATTCAGGTAATGTAAACTCACTTACATGATCATGACTCAGAAAATTCCCTCAGAGTACAATGGTACTGGCCATTGTGACTAGCCAAGCAGATGGTTAGCTATGCCACAGGTGACTTTTTCACAAGTAGGTAAGACACAGAAAGAGTGAGGATAAGAAAAAGAAAGGAGGAGATGCCTTTTCTTTTAGGACCTTAAGTAAAACCCCTAATTTATTTCAAATAAATCACCTTGTAATCAGAAATATCGATGACTTTCCCAGGCCAGTGGTTCTGCTTACTCAGTTGTCAGTCTCCAAAACCATCTAATTTCATACCAATCAAAACATTATTTACTCAACAGCAGGAGTCAAAAGATGTATCACAGGATTTAAAATACATTGTGATCTGATAAAC